AAAGCTTTGTGCATTACACATTTTGTTGAGTGTTTTCATGCCGAATTACTGAGTGTGATTCGGACCACTGTAAGTGATGATTCTAAGTGTTGAAATCAAAGGGCAAGTGCAAAGTTAGTTTCTGATGATTACATACTTGACACCTCATATCAAAACAATTCGGTACGTAATGGTTTCCCCTGTAACAAAAATGCCAAAATCCACTGACAACTCCCTGTGTTTACAGAGCAAATCTCCTTTCGGCTGATCTGTTTGCTGTCTGGTCACTGCTCAGACACCCAAAGACATCTGAGACGGTGCGAGGTGTCCACTGAGAGGTGACAGTTGGGTGTGTGTATTCAGCCAAAGACAAAACAACACTTTGGCAGACACAGCAAAATCCCAGCTCATTTTCACGTACAATGAAAGCTCGAATATTGAAGGTCTGAAGGCCAATTATGTCAGTGAAGACTTTTAAAGACAGGCTTTGAAGTCATGGCAATTCTCAGATATATAGCAAAAGTCCTCAAGGGCCAAGCCTCTCCGCTTGACCAGTTTTTCAAACTGTAGACAGCTATGACGCAGGTTTGATATGGGATTATAATCCTTTTAAAATACTTTTATTTGTACTGAAGTTGACATGGCAAACTGGAAATTGTCAAATGAGCCTTATCATGGCAATAAAATGAATGTATTTCTATAAAATATCAGGGCTTTATAAAAAAGCATCTCAGACAAGCTCTTGTAGGATTTTTCTTTTTCAAGAAACAATTCTAGACTTTTTGAAGTTTTGTTTCAAATGATTGGACATTTAAATCTCATAGCTAGCGTGTCATGGAAAAGGGATGGTTTCCTCAATAAACAATGTGCTTTTTTATACTTATAAAGAACACATTTGTTGTAAATGTCACAACAGGCAATAAAAGTTGACTAAATATATAACAAATAAATGCCATGTTAAAATCACCCACTATTTTAGGTGGCCATCACAGCACGTCTATATGTGGTTGGATTTGTTTCCCTTCCTTCCCTATGATATGTATCTACTTAAGCACTACGGACGTCACAGTGTGTTCTGAGCTGCTTGTAACAACAGAGAGGCTGCATGCTGAATTTTCATGAGGACAACCTCGGCCTATATTCCCAAATGTGATTGATCCACTGTGTACTCTGGCAACAGGTCGAGTTCAGTAGTGGTTGTAAATGGTTTAAGTTATGGAGGGGCACACTTGTGTGCTTTGTGTTTTTCTTTGGGTCAAGGTGGAGCCCCTGCATAATTGGTGGACGGTCTATCACCTTAAACCTCAAAATATTTAATTGATTTAAAGGGAGGCAATTATGGGAGTCCCATATCACAAAGACTTTATAGAACTTGTCATGAAATATAGCATTATGGAGCCAGTCGTTTATGATCCTATTTTGGGTGAAGATCCCAGTAGACCTCTCTGTAACATTCACATCAGACTCCCACATTGTTTTTTGTGCAATCCAACACTTAGGGTTAGGGTTAAATCATAATCTTATAGGAGTTTAATGTTGTACTATTTAGGTTCCAGTGGAATATATTTTGAAATGATGGACATAAATTTCAGTAAGTTCAGATTTTATTGCAGTGTCTGTCCTACTGGATAGGGATCTAGATTCATGAAGGGATTTTTTTACTGAAAAGTAAAAAAACATTGGTCTTAGGTTGGCTGTTTCTACCATTGTAATGTGAGGTGATGACAGTTGTCCAAATACGGTGTTAAAACTCTGGCTCTGCACTGTTGTGTTGTATGTGTCTGCCATCTATTGGACTTCTGTGAAACACCACTTTGCAAATTCCTTGAAAAACACATTACATGAAGTGAAATATGTTTAAAACGTGCAGTGAAGATAGTTAATGGTCACTTCTTTATGGTTCTTTATGGTTTATAAAATGTATAATATGACAGATAACACATAAGCAAAGTTTGCACTAAATAGGCATCTAGACAAACCCTATCACCTTCTCGCATTAAAAAATATAAATTAACCCATTATCTTTGTGAACATGAAATGTACTGCAAAAATCAGAATCTCAGGGAGACAGGAGCAAAACTGCAGCAAGTTGGTGGTGCCCATTTAAAAGAAACATTTTTGTGTTTATGGTAATGAGGAACAGTGGTTTGTAAAATAGAGGAAAAAAATAAATACCCCCAAATTTATTAAAAGAACTCACTTATATCCTATAACATGTGTTGCGGTGGGAGCTGGGGTATGACGCCAGGAAAAAGAGGGAGTGGGTGAGTGCAGGAGTCGGCCGAGCACGTGCCTCCTGAGGTCCTCTGGTCTCTGTCTGGATCAGTCTGCCTCACCAGCCCCTGGGCTAGAATCCCATCAGCCCCATACCCTGTCTACTCTGGGCCAGACACCACCATGACCACTTGTATTGAGAGGTCTGGCCACCATTGTGCCACAGTAGAGTACACAAACAAACAGTGCAGACAAACACAGGTCTGCTCCCCTGCCATTACATGGACTCATCAAGCCCACTCTGCTTAGTCATACCATAGGCTTCTAGTGCAAGCAGCTCCCTCTTGGCTTTGGATGGAGAATCTGGCAGAAGATATTTGCTCATTTGTCCCCACACATGTATGCGGTTTGGTAATGCTGCTAGGGACTGCTGCCCCAGCCTTTCTTACTGTCCAGATTGAGAGCTGGCCAGGCCTTTCCTGGTTAATGTCCTCCCACACAGTCTGGCTATACAGCTTTTTGTTGCTCATATTTAGCTGTTTACGTCCTTATAATGTGTTTTCTGTGGATTCTGGTATGCAGTACGGACGAGACAAATACGTAAGCATTGTTTCATCTTAGAAACTACTACTAAGTTTTTCTCCAAATAGGATTGAAATCGACACTGTCTCTCATCTGAGTCATGTATAATAGGCTAGATTTGTGTTAAGAGTATAAACAATGTAGTGTTTTCTTCTTTTAACTTATACAAAGAGTTGTAGCCTTAATTCTGCAAGTTGTGTATAGCTCTTTTCTGAAATGTACTCTTAATTTATTCTTCTTCAAAACAGATCAAAAAGGACATTCTTTCTTGTGATTAGCATAGCAATTGACAGATATAGGGCTGTACCAAATGCCATAGCAAGGTTCCATTTATTCACTGGACTCATTTATTTACTTGTTGATTAGAAATATTTTCTACCTGTTCTCCAAACCAGGCCATTTGGAATTATTTTATTAGTAAGTAAATAAGGTAGAAAATTGCATTAGAAAACATGTACCATATCAAGCATTGGCTAAAAGCATGGTTTTAGGGCTCACACACACACACACACACACACACACACACACAAACAGCATATCTGCCTTCTTTTTTCATTCTTTTCTTAGACCACAAGGCTGACCTGCTGGCCTCTATTTCCTCTGCAGAGGATATCCCTCTTCAGTAGAGCCTTAAAATTCATCACTGCAGACGACTTGAGATCCTGATGTATGCGTCTCCTCCTCCTCCATTGTCTTTGAAGCGTTGGGAGGTTTTTGGCTGGGCCTGGCCACAGTGATGATTACAGTCTCATAGTTAGGCCGTTACTGACATGTGCCGAGCTCACTTTCTGTATGATGTCCCCCCCGCCCCATGTTTGATGGAGAGAGAAGTTCTGGTTCACTGATAAATGTAATTAGTAATGTAGTTGCTGGTAACCATGTCCATAGTATTTAACTACTGCTGCCACCTTGTTCCCCTTCTCAGTTACTCTGCCAAAGAGGCTTTTCTGACCTCCCCTAGCTCCCAGGATGACAAACAGACCATGAGTGAAACCCACAGTCATTGTGTTTATATGCATGCACAGAGTATCTTGAGTTGAAGCTTATGTACATCCTAACAAAGTGAGGGCATTCTGAGGACACAGTGTTAACATACGTCTTTACTGCCCCTCAACAGATATCATTGGGTGCAAAATAAACAGAATGTTCTAAATGTCACCATGGAAACTGATGTTCCACAGACCGCATTGAATAGACCTTGAGATAGTTCTATTTGCATGTCTCTGTTTGTTGGCTAATATTGACATGTCTAAATGATCTTAATCAAGTTTCCTATCATTTGATTATGACTCCATCCAGGGTATTGCACAAGTCATGATGTTTTCATGACCAGGGTACACCTAAAATTATATTGAATTACTAATGAAAACATATTTCACATATGTTTACATTGTAAAGGGCATTGCAAAGTCTGTAAAGGTCATCACTGACCAACATTTTGTACTATCTATCAAGTACAAAGCACTGCATTGTTAGCAAAATGTAGTAAATATGGCATGCCATGTGATTTGGCAGTGGAATTTTGAGAGCACTAGGTAATGCACAAAATTCCTCACAGAATTTGGACACAATTACCTCTGCCGTAATCTAGTGTACTAAATACAAAATAGGGAGTGATTTTGGACATAGCCCAGTTATTCAAAAACTAGTTGTTAGCCTTATTATTTAGCAGTTAGCTCTAGATTCATTCTTTGGCAACTACTCAGGAATTTGTACGTATCAAAAAGGCTATAGACCAGATGAATGCGTATATACAGACATTAGGACTTACTTTGTAAAACCTGTGAAAAACTGGATTGCTGTCTTGGTGAGGGAATAGCTAATGTTACCCACTCTATGGCAACCAGCTAGTGCTAGTAGAAGCAGATTTTGCTGCTGAAAACAGACCTGAGGAAGTAGTTGCATGATCTGAAGGGGCCAATGCATGAGTTTCACATGGTCCGGATTTTGATACTCCATCCTGAACTTCATCATATTGTGAGAAATATAATCCTCCTCCATAAAATAACTGTTTTCCGTATCTCTTCACCTGCGTAAATTGCACTTTGCACAGTTAGCTGGCAATGTTCCTTTTCCTGTTACCATTATGAAAGTGAAATTGAAACTGAAGCTGGCAAAAAATGACCCACTGGCTGCTGAGCACACTCATTATATGATATAACAGTATATATGCAGCCATATCTTTTTTATGGCTTTGAAAACATATACATAGAGATATTTTTCTCTTTTTTTATTAACTCACCAAACCCACTCTTGTAAATTCTGCAATAAAAATTAAATTCAACATGTTACTGGGAGAAAATACAAAAACTGTAACTAAAATATTGTTTATTCCATAGAAAAAAATACCTCATCCAATGCACACAGTAAGAAAGGAAAAGTGAATGGTACAAAAACAAAGGCTTATAATGTCATGAAAAGAATATTGTTGAATGAATCATATCTTTTAATGACCTTTCCAAATGCATGCACTTTCAATTTAAAAACAAGCTTATCATCAAAACAAAGTATAGTGCTCTCATCAAAAGCAGCTAGTAGCCTTTCATCTCAGAAACTGTCAAAAGTAATCAAACATAACAATACAACTTTGACACTGATCTATGCATTGATTTAACAAAACCAATGTGGACAGTGTTGACAATGGATGTTTCAATGTGGTAAAATTTGGCATACACCTCTCAGAACCAGAACTCGGAGACGAAGACATGAACGTTGATGATGTTCTGGCCGGAGTCGCCAGTCATATTTCCCATGGACAGTTTCAATACTGTAGTCAATGGACCAATCAGAGACTTTACCTGGCGAACAACACCTAAAAGTGACAATGAAAAACACTATCAGTGACAATAACTAGTAAATATAGACAGGAGAATGAAACAAAAAGCAGTGAAACAACATGACAACATGACAACATCAGTGACATGTTTGGTTGTCAATCTTTGGTTAGTTTCACAGACAACAAAATAAATTTGACAATTTTTTGTTTCTTCGTAAGCGTACTGCTTGATTCCCTGATAGAGCAGCAGTTAGCCACTATTACGCCTTTTTCTCAATTACTGCTAGTGGTATCTAGCAATGCAGCAGTTTTGGCTTTAACTTCTGCTGCCACCCTAATACAATTGAGGACAATGGAATTTCTGTTTGTGATGCTCAATGCATTAAAAAAATTACCTGTTTTCAGTCAACAGTAAAGTATCTGTTCAAAAACAATGTCACATGCTGTCTAAACGGGACGCATTTCACATTACAACAGGTTGTAAAGTGAAATTGAGTTAATGACTCCCTGTTGTTGATGTGCTTATTTTGCTCTTGTAAACAAGATGTTATGGTAAGGATAATCCACAGACAAATTTTGTCAGCAGGTTTCATAGAGACAAATTCTTTGGCAGAAAATTGTTCCAGTGAATACTGACCCCAACTCTAACTGCTCTATTATTAAGCAATGATTTTAGCAAATTATTTATAAAGTTCTATTCCCCATGGGGCAGGGATTCAAAGGTTACCTAAGATTAAACTAGGTGGCCTCCCTGTCTGTCACTTGCCGACATCACTGCAAAGCTTCCTGTCTTTAAATGTAATATCATATCTGCTTGTGTATTTGGATGGGTATTCACATAAAGTGTGGTGTTGTTTTCTTCCCTCTCACTTCCACCCTCTCCATGGACAAGAGACACCCTCTATCATGGTAAAACAGATGGGAGAATAAACGTACTGCAACAGAGCATTACTAAATGCCAATGGAATTCATTGGGTGCTCTTTTTAAGTGAACATGCGATTACAGGGGGGAAAAAATGCCAGTGTTTATACAGGCTGTCAGCAGGCCTTTTCTCTGCAGAGGGCTGGTGACATTTCAGCTCTGGCCTGTTTGAACAGCCATCGCCAGAGTGCAGTCAGACAGCACAATCACCACGCTGTACTCCTATCACACCTTCAACCCTCCTCTGTCGTTTTATTCTCATTTAATCCTTAAATCACTTATCCATAACTGAGTTACTAAAGTGTTCTAGCTTTGATCGTGATGACTCAAGAGTTTAACTCAACATGGATCAAAATGACAATAGATCACTGACTCAATCGGTCTGAATTATGAGGCCTCTTTCTGTGGTACTTGTAATAGTGCAGTAAAAACTATTTGGTCATTGTTCACCACAGGACAAATGATGAGACCATTATGCACCATGTGCGCCGTCCTTTGGGACACTGGCATTGTATGATCCCCCCACCCACTCATTCTCCTCCTTCTCTTCCTCCCTTCTATTCCCTTCCTGAGGGGGCCTGGTGTTTGTGGCACCATCATTGTGGCCCACAAGGGTAAATGAGTCCCATGTGTTTGATGGAGGGGAGCAGTCGCAGTCACGCGATACAGCCATGCAGGCATTCCTCCAGGAATCCATCTTTAACTCTGGGAGGGGCAAGCAATAGGAGCTTGAACTGCTGTTTCTGTCTCTCTGTCACTTTTCGTCCCTCCTGAAGTCGAATCTGTGGGCACACAAGAGATTCCAGCAGATTCCAGCGATAAGCACTTCAAGGAGTGTGGATGGGGCCCACTTCTACCAGGGTTGCCCCTTGTTTTGGTGTTTTGGGACTCTGTTGCATAGTGACACCAGACGGAGGGGAGCAGGACTGAGATTTTATTGTTTCCAAAGCGTCAGCGCCATCAGAAAGAGCTAACCTTTACTTAAACCTAACAACAGCCGCAACATTAAGAGAATAACTGACATGGAAAAAGAGATTTTTTTTTTGTTTTCAGGCGCAAGCCAACTGAGATGGCACACAACTCTGAGTTGACCGACGCAAACTCAAAGTGAGTTCAGAAGGTTTGTGTCCGTGTATTTAAATCAAACAAAATCACTTCAAAAGCTTTAGTGCTGTGTTGAGCAAGCACACAATGAAGATGAGTAAGATATCATTATGAGCTCAATATGGACCACTGCAAAGACAGATGGGTTTCAGTCCACATTAAGGTTTTTTTTAATTGCAGAAAGTGTGGCCTATAGCTAACGAGAACTAAACACAGTATAATCAGGGTCAATTGAGGGTAAGTTTTTGACTAAAAATCCTTAATATTGTTTCTACATAAAAAAGCTAAACAATTTTACCGCATGAATAAAAAGGGAAAACACAGACATATCACGTCCAAAACGAAAATTTATTAAGGACATTTAAATAGTGCAATATGTGGAATGTGTCTGAGGCCCACCATTAGTGTTTTGTAAATTTGTTTGTGGTCTAATTAGCACATGCAGATGGCACAACTGTGCTTTTAGGAACAAAAATATGTTATAGTGTTCAATGGATTTTCCAAATCACCAAATTCAATTGTTCAGTTCACTGTTAATGATTTGAAAATGTAATACAAAACACACTTCAGTTTTCTTTACCTCAAATTTTGGAATCTGTGACACTATTGGGCGTGATAACAGACCAAGGAGTGTATCGTAAACTGTAACATGTATTACAGTTACCATAGTGGTTTGTAGTGGTTTGTATGAAGTAAAAGGTAATTATGTGACTCATGTGCCCAATTCTGCAAAAGAGCTTGATATTAAAGTCAGAGTATGTGACCATGATGACTCTGTGTTTCTGTAAGCTTCCCATCAAAAGTACAGTGGTATCCTCAATGAGGGGAAAGCATCAGCTAACAGCTGGGTCTCAACATACTCACAGTGAACTTGAGGTGAAACCACAACCGCATACTCATCTTTAACATTTCATCCAGGCTGTAAGGCAAAAAGCCAACAGCTACAAAACAGGTTGACATTGATTGGCTACCATACAACCTGAGATTCATATAAATAAACAAGGGAAGGTTTTCAAAACCCTACAGCTGACAATTTGCCTTGTGACTGGGTTGCAAGGTCAAGTCATCTGAGGCCTGAAGTACCCAAGCAGGAGATCAAGTTGTAGTGCTGGAAAGGTCTGTGGTGTCTTTCCATCTCACTGAGGGATCTGCCACAGGGTGCAAAGGTGACTGTGCTGGCTTGAACAGCCACCATCAAACAAACAGCTGTACAATCTGTTCATTCTCCAAAACATTCAGCCACACCATAAAGTAGCCCCTTAAGTATAAAACAGCCTTAAATAAATGCATGCTAGTAGCAGAGACAGCAAATGCCAGAAGGCATTTGTCATCCTTCATGGTCATGACGGCTGCAATATTGAAGGGTTACATGTAAACAGTACAATTTCAGGGTTTTCTGGTTTCTACAACTCAGTGAGGAAGTGTGTGACAAAATCCAAAATGAACGGGTTTAACACCAGAGACAAATGAAAAATATGCATTGGCCTCACCACAGTATTGTATAATGACACACTGGTTGTGGCACTATGCATGCTCACTACAGTGAAATAGCTGGACAGTATCCAGGTGGTGTACAAAGTTCCAGTATGCAAAGAGGGTACTGGAGGGCATTCTTCATCATTATTGTGGCTATAACTGTTGTATGTTTTGTATTCATGTCACTGATATACAGCTGAGCTCTACTGGCATAAACATAAAGACAGCAAAGAGTGGTTTCTTGTTCAAGGGTTCTTTTTTACTGCCTGAAACATTTTCTCCGTAAGTCCATAAAAGCTAGGAGACATGCCAAAGAAATTGCTAACTAGCTCCCTTGTTACCCCATTAGCAAAGCAACCAATTTCAGCTTTGATAACCCATCAGCATGGCTGAAATATAATCCAGTTAAATTGGTAACATAACCCAATGTATGAAGATTGAGGGTACAGGCCCCTCAGGGGCCAGATCTTGCGTTTACAGCCTTTTCACTGGTCACTGGTACAAAGATGACCAGTCAGGCTGTCCAAACACAACTCTGACCACTGCAAAGAGGGTGTGGGTGCCCTTCCCACTCCTGTTCTGGTTCTGAAAGGCCAGCATATGTGGCTTGATATTTTAAGGTCAATTAACAGCAAGTCATAGTTACAGATCTCTCAAATGGCCCGTGGGTCATTGTTGGACAGTGTCACTCACTGTAGTGACATCATTGAAAAGTAGCCATAGGGAAATGGTTGGTTCTTTTCTTGGACTTTCTGTTTTAGCATTTGTGGGCCAGAGCAGCTGAGATGACATAACATGCACCATTATCTTTACCACAACCTTTGCACTATATTGCAAGTGACCTTTCAAAGCTAAGACCCATAACTAAGGAGTAGAAAATAGACTTGACAATGTAGACTAAACCGTATGGATATGAGTTGAAAACCTGCTTTGTTTGCATTTTAAATCAGGAGAAAAAAGTATACAGCATCTTGATAATCTGTTTAAGTCCTTTGCTATCTACTTTGGAATGTTACTGCATTAACATGGATCAGAACAAAATGGATCATTTTGTGACTTGAGCAATTACGTAAACAGAGTTACATTTTCTTAAAATCACAGTGCCAGACAGCGAAGAGTAATGACAAGTATAAATTAAATAGATCGCCAAACCGAGAGAGATAAGTGTATCTGATTATTACTATAGACAGTTTTATTGCAAGTAATATGTACTATATGTGTACATGTACATAACAGTGTTTTTTTTACAGTGTCTCTGGGAGTGTGACATATCTACATTAGTATCTCTTCATCAGTACATTGTTGGTTGAGGACCACCGAGGGGAGCGTTGTGTGTTTGGCTGAGCGGTTGTTGGGTGGAGAAGAACCTGTTTTGATTAGCTGTACTAATCTCTTGTGGGGGAGAAAAAGATTCCTTATGGGTTTGGCGCACTCTGGTGGGCCCTGCTGCTGACATGTCATGATTCATTCAAATGACAGTCAAACTTGAGGAGCTAGTTGCCTGCTTATCTCCACGGCTGTCCTCAACTCCTTACCAGCACAGCCACAAGCCAGAGCCACAAGCTCCAAGTAGTCATGTCTCACACAGTAGGCTCACATTCCACCAGCCACTGTGGACGGCTGCACTGACGACCATGACTACCTGCATAGTTGCAAACTGTCCACATCCTCTTCAATTCATCTTACTGTCTGCCTCACTGGCTGCCAGCCCTGTGCCAATGGCAATGCAAAAGGTATTTATTCTCTGCACAGGATATAAACCACACAGGCATATTTCCACCTGCATTTCAAAAATGAACGGAATTTAGCTGTGGCATCTTAGACTTACAGTTTCTCGAGAGGGTGGGTATGAGTCATGAAGAGACGATACTGTATTGTCTGTTGCTGTCCAGTAACATAAACCTAAATCCTACATTTAAAAAATCAGTTTTCATGCTAAAAGGAATCAGACAGCAGTGATAAAATCCTTCCATGACAAATAATTACTCATATAGAGGAGTCATTTGGACACATTCAAGGGATGACTAAACATGTGCTGACTGTTTGATTCCACAGTTGGTTACTGATTGTATTATATGTTCAATTCACACGATGGTACTTGTCAGCCAGCTGGCTGACTTAAGTAAAAGTCACACATTGTCTAGACATATATTTACTGATTTGTTGTTGCTTTTGTTAACTTCATACTTTGCATGTTGAACAGGAATAAGTTGGATTGGTGGGCTGTCACATCTTTTCACCACATAAAGCATGTAACTGATTAAGCAAAGCTCAAAAAATGCAACCATGCTCAGCAAACCAACCACAATACATGGAAGCAAAAAAGCTAGACTAGCCTGTGGAACCCTCAGTGGGAGAGATCAAAGACAATATTGATCCCCACAATGATGTATGTCACTGAAAGATAATCAAACCACCAGCATGTTGTCAGAGGTGAGAGACCCAGACTGAGCTCAAGCTTCCAGCAGAGACCACAGTGTTGTTCAGTATTTTCAAAGGGAGGACTCATACATCCACCTGCTTACCGCCAAAATCAATCATCCCACTATCAACCCTATTCAAACAGCCTGTCCCTAATAAAATGTGGATGACAGTGTTAGAATGAGTAATGCATTCCTTCACTGTTTGTGTTTCCAAATATGTGTATGATGTGTCACAAATGTTGTCTTTGCTGTGCAGATGATGTATATCACTTGGGTGGATCTGTTGTGTTTCTACTTACCTGCTGGGACTTTGTGTGGTCGCTGCTGTGCTACTGTGGTCGTCATCGGAATCTGTAAGTGTTTGATTCATTCTGATCATGTTTTCCAAGTGCTGAAGGCCGGTTGTGTTTGCACAGATGCCTAAGGCTGTCAGTGTTGTCTTCCAGATATGACAGTGCTGGGAAAGCCACTGATGGATGACGAAGAACTAGGAAAGAATGTTCAAATCTAACACTATTTAGTGTAGTAGTATATAGGTGTGTGTGTGTGTGTGTGTGTGTGTGTGTGTGTGTGGTTTTAAATCAAACCACAATCAAGCCAATCAAGCCTTTTAAGAATCAATTTTTCAAATATGCAACGGATTCTGAGGAGTCCTAATTGCCTCTTTTGTCCTTTTCAAAAACACAAACAGCGGCCAAAAATAATGACCAAAGTTAGTTTGAGTTCACGCACTTGTTCATTAGTGGAGCCTCAATGTCTGCTACTCTTCACATCCCACCAAGCTGTAATACCACTGAGACACTAGAGATACTGGAAACTAAGCTTCCTTAAGTGACACGTCAGCGAGCCTCATACAATGGTTACGCAAGAGCAGCATCTGTGGGCCAAAGCACCAGCAGCACAACCCACTAAATAAAACCGAGAGGGCCTTCATTGCACCGTGGACGCCACACTTCACAGCGAGCAGTCAGTGACCAAAGGCTCCAGTGCACAGGGCCTCAATTTGGATATGTGATGGGCAACTGGTGCTAACATGCAAGAGCTGCATCCAATAAGCATCCAATGGGTTTGGGAGAGAAGTGGCTCCTCACAAACATGCCTTTCATGTGGTCGTCAGTTTAAGTGCTCTAATGCTCGGCGAGACACTGAGGCCTAGCGTGGGGAAATGGAACAATACATTTAACCACATGAAGCAAAGCGCCCAGGATTACTTCTGCACATATTTTCTCTCTCTCTTTCCTCTTTCATTGAATCACATTCTCTCACATTGTGTTTCTCTCTCTGCAATTTTATTCTTTCTCCCTCCCTTGCACACACACACATACATACTTGCCCCTGCAAATGAGCACCACTATAAACAGGGAATTTCTCCTAAATCCTCTTTACACACACGCACACAGACACACACAGTAGACAATATATTACAAAATAAGGCTTATCGCTCATGCAGAATTACACCGTTGTACATTCCAACAAAAACATACCATTAGAAGCCAGTGCAGAATAATTCTAACTGCTTTAACAGTGAAGTATGTGAATTATTGCTGGTTATAAACATTTTTCTCTCATGTATTTGTGAATTTGGTTACGTTTGATAAGCACACATCTGTTTCTACACTAGTGTACAAGAGAGGAACACTTGCGTGCGGCCACAATCCAGCCCTTAACCAGTGACAGTCACACACTCTCTCCTCCCTTTCATTCGGTAAAGACAGATGTGCACACTGACAAGCCATCCCTTCATCCATCAGTGAGAGAAGAAAAAGACGCTGTCCTTCCACTACTACACCGCCTGCATCTCAGCACAAAACCAAAACAAAAACACCTAGAAGGCCCAATAATGTGTCATTCTTGGGCTCACAACACCCTCATCCACCGAAGGCCAAGGCTCAGTTCAGCTCTCCCACAGGCGTGCATCAGCCTTGGGTCACCACCAGCCTAAAGGATGGGAATGGCTTCTACCCAAACATATGTTGTTGTTACACACCACTGGAGATGGTGCTCCTACTTGAACTAATGCAGAGCATTTTTTTGCATGCTGGTGGTCGCTGAGCAGGTAGTTATGATGAACTGCTTGTCAACTGCAATCACTCATGCATACGTGCATGTGAATACACACATGTAGATTTTTACACTCTATTCCTGTACATTTAGACTGCCATAACTTATTGTGAAAAGTAATGATCTCTGTGGGATAAGCTTAGCCATAGATAAGTGAATTAAATGGTACTTTGTTTAACCGCAAGACTGTTTAAATTGATGCCAAATATTTGGTGAGACAGAAACAAGTCTTTGTCTGTCTCAAAGAGCCACTCAGAGGACAACTCTCCAAAGACCCAGACAGCAAGCGCCCCCATGAAGATGATGACAGCTACATGATGCCACCGCACTGCAAAGACCATAACGGGCCTTGTCAGATGTACTTATGTCAGGGTGTCCAGACATTCCTTATGGGAGATTTTTGCGCTTTGTGTCCCTTCTCAATGTGCACATGCAAGTCTGATTTGTAAAAAACAAAAAAAACACACACATACTGCATATATTTCAAAATGTAAAATTAACTGCCACCTTTTTCAAAACAAAAATGCAATTTCTCCTAGGCTGGAGCTGTTGGGTGGTACAGGCTGCGTGTTGAAGCTGCTATTGTCAAATGTTTGCATTAGGTTGGTTCATCCAGACATCACAACACACAAAGCAAATTAAAATTCCTGTACTCACCCACATACATTCCATTCTCTACCCGCTTGATAATGTCGAATGCGTTCTCCACGTTGCCCTCCAGGATGTCAAATTTGACGTCGTAACTGCCTAAGTGATAGGACCCGTAAGCTGGCACCGTGGTTCTCAGGAAAACAATCTCTGTTGGGAGATAACAATTAGACACAAAAAGCTTTTGGAGCCTAAATCCTCATAATGACACTGGGATTGCACCGCCAAGCCTGTACCAACTTTTGCTCTTCGTTTCTTTTCTTGTTTCCAAGAGAAAGACAATAAAATGGTAGATTGAAAGGTCTGTGTTTATTGTACACGGAGAGGGTCACAGGAAGGTTGAAGCTTTTCAGTACTGTTGTTCATCTGAAGGGCCTCGAGTCCTTTACACCCCAACTCAGAGCTTATGAGAAATGACAAGAGCTTAACTCCCCGTGACGTTGAGCATGAGTGTGTCTGAAATATGCACTGCATGCCGGCCAATAGATGCTTGTCAGCTGTCACTGTCTGCAAGTGATTACCGTGGTTACTCATATCCAACCAGCATGGCACTTACTCTCTAGTGTGGGCTAGCCAAGCCTGGACGGCATGGAGAGCATCATGGAATAGCTAATTTAGAGGTCAGAGGTAGTCATATGGATTGTGACAACTGCAGGGAAATGCATTTGATGGGAGCTCAGAGATTTAGGGAGATAAAGTAGAGCTAGAGGAGAGAAAAAAAGCAGAGGACCATGCTGACACTAAAAAACACAAGTTATCATGCTGTCCTCAAATTTGTTGTTTCCAAAGATTTTAACACAACGTTCTGTCATAAATGAAGCTCATACATGGGCCTTTGTGGATTAGTGAAAATATAGAGTAGAAGGATATGTAGAATACATTTTTTAGGGGCTTAGACAATCAGTCATTTTTTAATCACAGTGTTAAAGCAATAGTTTGACATTTTCCTTCTTGCCAATAGTTGGATGACAACAGCCTGCAGTTGGTTATCTTAACTTAGCATTACGACTGGAAACAGGGAGAAACAGCAAGCCTGGCTCTCACCTCTGTCGATCTTAGCAGATATGAGCGTCTTTCCCAAAATGATGAATTATTCTTTTAAGACTTGTTTATCCCCCAGGGAACTTTATTTTATAGAAACATGAGTGCATTATGCCCCCCTTCTTCATGCTATTGCTACATGCTTGCCCATCTGGTTTATTCCAGAATTTTTGTCATCATTATTCACAGAAAAATAAGACTTATACTTACCCTCTGGCTTTGTGAACTCTCTGAAGGTGGGCAAGGAGATGAATGTGTGGGACACTGAGTGTGTGGGGTCCCGGACACAGGCAACATCATTGGGTTGACATGTCTTTATACAGCGAATGGTGTCAGAGAGTTTAAGCCTCGGCACTCTAAAGGAGAGAACAAACATACACACCCACAAAAAAAGAAAACAAACACACACATGGCCTGTGACCTTTAGGTAATGTCTATATAAAGACTTCAGAGTTAGCCGCCTTTGGTTTTTAAAGCTCACAATAACAGGGCATCCTTGGGAGCAACCCACTGCGTAATCAAGAACTCAGTGGGACAACTCCAATGGCCACTACACAAACAATATCTGAACAAGACAGCAGGGATACTGGATATAGCAGTCAACATCAAAAACAATCAAATTCTATGTGGTTTGGAAGCATAATAAACCAACAATGGCCAAAGCTCATGCTGAAGCCAAACTTTGTAGCTTGTGGAGACTAGAGCTGCCATTGATGCTTTTCTGATGCACTATTTCAAGCTGTGTGGGAAATGAATTACTACACTCACAGAGAATGATCCACAACCTGCTCAGGAAAATATTTGGATTTGCTGAGCATCCCCGGCTTCACATCAGATAATCTCTTGAGGAGGATTTATGGGGCAAGGGAGTGTTCTAAAAGACTCCTAAATTGTGAGCAACATGACTAGACAACTCCCCAGCCTCTCCCCTGGGCAGCTCTCATCCTATTATTTAGGGCTTTGTTTATTCCACAGACTAATAAGTGACAGGTCAGAGGGAATGGAGGGCCTCCACGGGCTCCTAAAGCTAACGCCACCTGAAGTATCGCTATTCACAACCTGTCTGCTTCGTAAGACTTTGAGAGAGGTTTCTAAGGCATTAACAACCTCATAAATCAAGGGGCTGTCTTTGAAACAATGAGGAATGTGTGATCATGAGAGAGCTATTGCAACAAAATAAAAGCCTTGATTTTGACATCTAAGATGTTAAATTTAAACTTGGTCTTCACAAAGGAGACAAGTCAGTGCACGGTTATACTGGGTTATGAAAACAGTCATGTTGCCATGTATAAGTCCAGTTAATGTGCATGGCAGCCATATAGCCACATTGTGAGTCATGGGCCGTGGATCTCTGGTACTCCCCAGGAGACCTATAGGCTGTTGCTCAAAGCCCAGTCCCAGCTTGGGTTGCAGGGCTCCTTCCATAGAGAGCGAGGAGAGAAGCCCCTGACAAAAAGTCAAGCCACCACTGGGTAGGGGCCTGTAATTAGCAATTAGCGGGTGGGTCCAAGTTTTGCTTTGGCCCAGGCCAAACCCACAAAATGTTCTCCTAGTTTATAATACCATGGCCTGAGCTGCACAAAGATCCGAGCGGGGCTCAGGAGGAAGAGGTGAAAGCTCTGTTGGGGTAGAGAGTAAATTTACGAGAAGATAATGAAGCAGGGGCAGCAAGTGGAGCTAATTACAACTCCATGTGTGTTAATGCATGTGTATGTCCAAACCCAAAATGCCTGTTTGTGTGTGTATAGGTCCATTTGTGCATGTGTACCAGTCTGCATGCAAACATGCTTGTGTATATGTGTGTGCATGTGCGCATAAAAGCACGTCTTCTTCATCTCTCCATGCCTCACGTGGCCCAGCCCAGGAGAAAAACCCTAATACTTTCAGACCAGAAAGAAAAACAGACTTTTTGGATGAAAGTCTTCTGGTCAAGCGTAGGGCCTTTTATTTTTTTGGTAATTATTATTTATAGTCGGCACATTGATAACGCCCCAACACAAACACTGCAGGGCATCATTCATTCTGTGCGCGGTGATGTTGCTGTACCACAAATTGTTCAGACCACCGGCCAGAGCCCAGAGCCCCATAACTCAATGTCAAAGGGGAGGAAAAAACCTTCTGCGCGCCACTATATTCTTATTTTAAGGATATCCCCACTGGGGACCAAGTGCATCCTTGCTGGCCTGACAGCTCAGGACAGGAGGAACCTAGGACATCTGAATTTACAGTTATTATAAGCCACAGCCCTCGGGCAGCAGCCTCGCAGCATGTCAAACTATTTATACTCTCTCCTGCTGGTGCACATTTCCCTCTCCTTTGCCACTGCATCCCATCGCGTGTCACTTACTCAGCCTTCATTTGGATTATCTGTCTGCTCTGGGGTTTACACCACAGTATGTGGAAATCTGTGCATTTTACATTAAGCCTAAAATGTAATGGGAGCTGAAGAGATGTGCATGAAAATTACTGCCACAGAAAGATATATTTGCGGTGCAAGGTAACTGATGTTTGGGAAGTGGAAGTAACAATGCAGTCAAACAATGCAGCCTACTCCAGCTCATTTTTGACTGAAATTTGGAGGTGTGGAATTTCTTTATGGGATAATAGTGAAATTTGAGGTAATGCACATGTAGTATATAACTGAAGGATTTGACTTACAGATGGGAAATTTGACTGGGTTTCTTAGCCGATTAAAAATAAGCCTGGTTTGTGTCTGTGTTTACAAACATTACTGATGCAGGAAAACGTTAAAATCATAACTAATCGTAACTAATAACATTATTAATAAAAGCAGTTGTCTTCTAGTATGTGTAAAGACCTCATGTACCCTTTTTTCAGTCAGATCACAGAATGTACCTCTAACTTTTAATAAACTCTATGCCTTAGAAGAGATTTGATTGTATCATTAGATTTCCTCTTTACCGAAGCTGTCAGAATAATAGTAATATGAAACTATGTGAAGAAGTCTTCATGCCTTCATCTGTGATTTGGCCTCACATTCCAGCTGCTCCCTTTGCTGTATTTGATTAAACCCCACAATGAACCATTATCAAGAACTGGATTTGACTTGAACATGTGTTATTTCTATTTCAATTTTAATAGAAAACTGTTCATCCAACACATAAACCATAAAATACTGTAAAATGTCAGACTTTATCATGCAACCATTATCAAATTACACTCAGTTGTAGGCAGACTTGCTATGCTACTATTTTATGTTTTACACTGACCTAGAACGCCACCTAGAGGCTATCACAATGACTTACCTCCAAGAAGATACATTTAACTGGACCTAATTTATAAAGCTGAATAATGATCCTTAATTCTAGTATTAAAAATTTGATTATTCAAAGTGCTACTAGAACTGTGGTACTTTCTTCTGATTTTGTATTTTTTTATATCTACTCTTAAAAAAGCATGTGTCATCTTAAACGGGCATTTAGTGTCACACAAAGTCATTTTGTGTTAATTTATCACAAAAGAAAGTGATGTAGTAGAGACGTGGCTGGATAATCGATAGGATAAAGAGGGCAGCTGCACCATGGTCCTGGACCACCAGTGACCCTCAAAGCCCCAGACTCACTGTTTGTCATAGTTGGATCAATTGAAAAACTTTTTAAAGGGATAGTTTAAAATTTCTTGCTGAGATTTAGATGAGTGGATTGATACCATCCCAAAGACACCTCCTGGGGTCTTGTCATCACTACACCTGGCCAATGAATAGTGCGGAACATAACCCCCAAGCTTGCTGTTTTAACACTTTTTTTGTACAGATAAAACAAACAAGATACAAAATGTTAATCAGAGAAATATAGAGGTGCTATGTTGACTGATCTTGTTATCTTTGGACAGAGCCAGGCTTGCTGTTTCCCTCTGTTTCCAGTCTTTGTGCAAAGCTAAGTTAATCAGCTGCTGGGGGTAGCTTCATACTTCTACTTATATACTAGAGTGGTGTGAAGCTCCTCATCTATTTCCCAAAATATCAAAGTTTTACTTTAAGAATACACAGCACTCAATAAAGATATCAACTGAAATGGGCTTTTTTAAAATCCATATTATGAAATAAATTTGTTTCTTTAAAGAAGACAGAATCATGAACAGGGGTCCCACAATGGTTGGGGCCCAACCTGGATAATCAGCCCATTAGCCAATACAGTTTACCGACATTTCGAATGCATCATTCCATGAATGAAAAAACATTAATGATTTTTGTTTATAGAGAAAAATTTTGTTTTTATAATATCAATTTATTCCATTTATATGTACCTAATCTATGTAGTATGATCTGTAATCATTTATAATTTACAACATATAGTAGTCTTCACCATGCTTTGCTATGAACATACTATATGCGCATCTTGCATGCATTTTGCGTTGTGAGGATCAACTTTTTCCGTCTTCTCAATGAGACAATGCATTTAAATGAAACATCCTTTCATTGTGTAGTAACTTGTGTAACCCTACATAACTCTTGTGTTTATTCTAGTAGGGGATTGTAAGGTACTCTGGGCTCCTCCTGGGTAACAAACACCAAAACTTTAGCCATGTATATGCTGAGCGTGCCATAGCGACGCAGCCTCAGCTCCAGAGACAGCTCAAAGTCCTGTGGCTTGTTGATGAGCTTTGCCACTGACATCACCCCGCCGGTGGGCACACGCTCCGTCTGGAAGAAACCACCCTCGTTGCCAGTGGTGATAGCAATCTGGATGTCATCTCCGACCACGGTGTGGGTGGGGCCCATGCGGAAGATGTTGGTGAAGATGGGGATGTTGGTGGGGAAGGTGAGGTAGTAGAAGGTTATTCTCAGGGGCATGGCCAGGCACTCGACAGACTCATTGCAAAGCAAGCGTTCACATCGACTGCAAAGAGAGAACAGTGGGGGGCAGGGGCAGGGCAGGACGGGACAAGACAAAACACAACAGGCACAGAGAGAAAAAGAAAGAGAGACCAGGTGTAAATTTAATTTGCCGTGCATGGCATGCAGTGAAAGGAACATCAGTCTGCTGCATATACTTTACAGGCCAGTCATGGTGCCCTCTGTAGGATCATGCAAGAAGTTCTGTCACAGGGTGGTCATACACAGCCTACCCTGTAATTGAGCTAATGAGAAAATATCCATACGCATTTGATCATTCTAAAACAACAGACCATGCTACAGCCAAATCTTTTCTGAAGTCATTCCAGCATTGAGCATACTGGACATGCAGAGCCTGAACCATACATATGAATAAGGATTGGTTTAAAAGACCTGACATAGTTTACTGTTGTACTAAAATATGACCATTCTTGACTGTGAGGAATGTGGATGCTCTGTGAGTGTTGAGGTTTTCTGTCCAGGGTTGTATTATTAATGTTTGTCTAGTAATTATCATATTGCTGTGGGAACAGACGACACATTTAAAGTTGTTTTCTGTTAATGAATGTGATTCTGTTCAGCAGCAGTGTGAGACCCAATGAAGAAACTCACGTCTCTCCAACGCGCCGGTAGTTGTTTGGACACTCAAAGGACAGGCATCTGAATCCTCCCTGTACATTAAAGCAGCTCTGATTCTCTGTGCATGTGTGTGTTCCCGTCACGCATTCATCAATATCTGGGAGCGCAAAGACAAAAAGTGGAAAAACGTGATTTCAAAACATTCTCAAAAATAACTTGTATCAAAATTAACATAAGCCTGCAACTCATCACGTGTAACATTACAGTAAGGACAGCTTACCTTGACAGCTGCGCCCATTGGGTGCCAAGGTGTAGCCACTGACGGGACAGGAACAGTAGAAGCTGCCAGGGGTGTTGTGACAGCGATAGAGCAAATATGACCTCCAGTGGGCAGGGCACACTCATCTATATCTACAAATGTGACAGAGACAGATGGAAACAAGTGAAACATTGAAATATGTATATCTTATAAAGCTCTAGCTTATGATTGATTGATAACTAAATTTGCATCTGATTCATATATAATGCAGTTTGCTTCAGCAGACTGCACACGGAACTTACTGAATAAGGTGAAATATTTTTCAAAATTATCATGTATTCCTCCAAGCACCTATTAAAATGGTTACATTTTACCTTCACAAGTCATGCCATCTATGTCATTGAGCTGGTAGCCACGGCGACAGTAACACTGGTAGGAACCATACACGTTGGCACACTCTTGACTGCATGGGTTGCTGTCACACTCATTTAAATCTACATGGGAAAAAATGTATTACAGACCATTATGAACTTGACCCTACTTGTTAACTAACAAGTACACCTCAGTGGTCAGAAGAATAAAAGACTTGCACATGCCGTTGTGGATCCTCCTCTGTCCATGTACACTGCATGCACAATTATTGGGCAAATTGTATTCCTCAGGATTCATTTTATTGTTGAACAAACACAATGCTCTCAGTCAACTGAAGATGTAATTGAAAATCAAACATGAATGTTTATCTAAGGAAATGAGAGTTTTGTCTTGTTCAGGACAATATATAAGTGTGCAGAATTATTAGGCAATTAAATTACCAAAATCATTTCTATCCAATTACTTTTTTATTCTCAATATTTAGAGTACGTATAACAACAAAAAAATGACAATTGAATAAAGTTTTTGGCCATTCAAAAATATTTAGTAACCAATATAGCCACCCTTCTTTTCAATGATTGCCATGAGCCTTCCATCCATAGAGTCTGTCAGTTTCTTGATCTATCAACTTTCCCTGAAGCAGCAACTACAACTTCCCAAATGCTGTTTTGTCTTCCCTGACAGTTAATCTAACGTTTTAGAAAGGCCCACAAGTCCTCAATAGGATTCAAGTCAGTAAGGAAAGGAGCCAGGTCATTATTTGGCCATTTTACTCATTTACTCATTTCATTGGAGTACTTGGATGCATGTGATGGATCATTGTCCTGCATAAAGATCATGGCCTTCTTGAAAAATGTGGCTTCTTCCTGTACAGTTGCTTGAAGAAGTAGCTGGCAGTAGCTTTGGGAACTGAGTTTCAGTCCATCTTCAACCCGAAAAGGTCCAACTATCTCATTCTTAATGATAGCAGCCCATAACAGTCCCCGCCTCCACTTTGCTGGAGCCTAAGTCGAAGTGGTGCTGTGTCCATCAGTGATCCAGCTACGGGCCAATCCATCTGGTCCATCAAGAGTTACTCTCATTTAATCTGTCCAATAAAACCTTTGAAATATCTGACTGTGAGTCTTATTCAGTGGTGGTCGTTTTTTCTGCTTTCCTGACCTTGGCCATGTCTCTGAGCACTTGGCACCTTGTACTTCTGAACACTCCAGGTAGGTTGCACTTGTGGAATATGGTGGCACTGGAGGATTGGTTCCTGGGAGCTCAACATTTAACTCTACGTTTAATTCTAATTCTATTTAATTTAAATCTTTTGCAGTAATTTGCGCCTTTTCTACTCCATGCGCTTTTTGCTCCCCAGTTGACTATTCGCAACAGAATATTTGATTGTCCAGTAGTAACGCCTCAAAAGTTGACCTATTAGTGTTGCATCCATCTGAAAGGCATTTTACAATTTTTAATTTTCAGTGTCCGTTAAATCTTTTGCTTGGCCTATTTTACCTGAAGAAATGAAGCTGCCTAATAATCATGCACACCTTAATATTTTATTAATTACACAAATACATACATCACCTGAAAATGATTAACTCCAATGAGCCTTCAAGTTATATGGTTTGGAGTTGGAAAATGTTCATAGAAATAATTATTAATTCAGAATATTTACTTGCCTAATAATTAATAAACAGTTGCATGCACACTGTTATTGTACACACAGTTATGTAATGTAATAATGTAACGAAATTTAACAGAAATCTAACAGAAAAAAAGCATGATTTTAAGTGCCTGGTGGGTGTTTTTTTTTCCCAAAGATGATTTTTGATTGTCACTTTTACCAGTTTTTACCAGTTTCACTGTCACCAAATGACGGTAAAATGCTGCCTGGTTTGAAAAGTGGGACAACGATGGAAATAAATCTTGGACCTTGCAGCACTATTCTTGGCAAAGTCTGATATGCTGTATTTTATAAATATATTAGAATTTCTTCAATTAACCAACAAACAATAATAGCTTTTTATGCCACAGCAGGTAGTAGAACAGATGTGTCAGCTGTAATCAAAGCAGAAAGGTAATCCAACTTGGAACTGAACAGGAGTTTCTTTTGTTTCTGTCACTGGGAATTTGCACAGCATAGCCTACAGTTTTCACAAAACATACTGTATAAAAAGTTGCAATCCTACTGATTTAGATATTTTTCTTACCGTCACAATTCCTGCCATCACCGGCTAGCTTGAAGCCAGTGGTGCAGCTACATTGTAGGATCCCAAAGAGTTCTCACACTTATGGGCACACAGGCGACCAGGGTAGTGCCTGCATTCATTAATATCTAAAACACAAAGTCCAAATATGCCACAGTAAGAAGCTGAAATTATGACAAAATTCTCTCTTCACATTTTGACCAGTATTAGTAGATGCACATATTTATGTTTAATTTCCATGCAGAGGATATATTTGGATTTAGCTACTTATGTAAGAACATTAAGCGAGATATACCAACTGCTTACCCTCACAAACTCGACTGAAGCTGTTGAAGTTGTAGCCAGTCTCACACTCACAGCGGTAAGAGCCCAGCATGTTGATACAACCATGACCTGCACAGACGACTTCAGGGCCCTTACACTCATCAATATCTGCAGAGGGGGGATGCAAACAACAGAGAACACCATGATACATACCTCAGGTAGGTTTGTAAGATGCTTTATTATCCAGGAATTGTGAGTTATTCCAGCTGTACCAACACAGCGTGTGCCATCTTCATTGAGGTGGTATCCTCGACCACAGTTAACAGAGTTCCTCTGGCAGGTGTAGGAGCCAACTGTGTTGATACAGAGCTGCCCTCGGTGGCATGGGCTTGTCTGCGTAACACATTCATTGATATCTGAAAACACAGACACAGATGATATTGTTAAATTATGCAAATATTGCTTTATATACAATATTACTTAATATTAAATATGTGTAATATAAGTTTTGGCCTAAAGGTGGCTCTACAGGCCATGAAGTCATTACAATCTAAGAAGTGCGACCATCAATGTGCACACCACATTTCACGTTAATCTATCAATTATATTTTGAAAATGGTATTTTGGCCTGAGTGTGGTACTAGGAAGTTCACAACGTATCTGAAATGGAAAGGGTCCATCCTTTTAGGGAGCATCATTGTGTTCAGTAAATATGTTTCATTGTGTTATTCCTTGTGTATAAATAAATATTTGGGCCAAACAGTGGTCCAAGAGCAAAGGTCAGGGTGCCCCCAAAAACATTAAGATGTCATATACTGATGAGCATGTGCTCTTCATTAGGATTTTCTCAGCAACTTTCATTCAGGTAAAAGGTCAGGGGTCACCAAAATCATGAGGAGCCATTCTCTCAACCCCACAAATAGCCATTTGGACCAATGAGTATACCACCATCTAAAAGCTGGTTGAACAACCGAAAAATTGTAGCACTACCCGTGCCTAAATCACCTGTTGTTAAAAGCTGTTGTAGTACGCTGCTTACCAATGCAGCTGCCGAGGGCATCCTGGATAAAGCCGGCACCACACTTGACCTTAGGGACACAACGGAACGACCCCTGTGTGTTTTGACACTCAAACTCTGTACCACAGTTGTGGATACCGGTCTCACACTCATCAATATCTGGGTAAAGAGATTCACAGGACAATTGCCATTGAACAAATACCTAAATACCTAAAATATCTAAAAGTTAGAGATACAGAGCAACAGAGGCAAATTGTTGAATTACCTTTGCAATTGTTGTTGTCAGTGAGTTCATAGCCAGTCCCACAGCTGACCTCTCTCTGACAACGGAATGAGCCCACTGTGTTGATACAACGCTCTCCTCCCCGACAGTTGCTGGCACCCAGCAAACACTCGTTGATATCTGAGAGAGTTTGGAAGCAGAGATTCTCTTAATATGCTTACATTTCTGACACACAGTATTACAGTATTTTGCATCAAAATACTTTCACAAGCATAATGTTTCTCTGTGCTATAAGACTTATAAAACAAAACGGTAACACTTTCTATGAAGGTCATCGCTATAATGACTTATGCATATATTTATAACATGATATAATGCGTCCATAAGACATTATAACAGTTGTTATAATCACTTACAAACATGCATTAGGCGCTATAGCGAAGTTCATAACGTACTGACCTTCTGATTTAATATTTTATAACGAATATTAATACCAGTTTATATCAATGTGCGGCAAGAATCTTCGACCATGTTCCATAACACATTATAACCACCGACTCTGCCTCGTTATAAATACACTTTAGTCACCATTTACAATTAGGGATATAAAATGGAATAATAGCTTATAGTAATGTTTAAAGTTATATAGCATGTCTTTGTTTGCTTTAAGTAAAGTGTTAAATATCTATCCCTGTATAATATATTACAGGTGGACATAATAACATATGAACTAATTATAAGACCTTATAACACGTAATTGTTTGCTTTAAGTGAAGTGACACACATTTTGCGCAGGAAAACAACTTTTAATTATGTTTCTTCACTTTATGAAAATCTGTATGAATTTTGAACATTTTTCAGTTTAGCACAAAAACACAACATAATTACATCCAGAAAGCTCGTTGTCAGGGTGGTGAAAGATCGCTCAAGAGAAGACCTGTTGCAGACCAACATCATGTAAGAAGAGGCTCAGATGTTGTCACAGATGAATGGCGAGCCTATGGACAGGCCCTAACAGATGCATTGGACGATTAAAGACAACCACTTCACAAAACGTAGCCTATTAAAAGACATTTTAAAGTAATTGAATGCGAATACTGTTTGGGCAGTAGGAATGAGAATCTCGTGGCACCTCACGATTCGATTAGAATTCAGAGGGCAGCGATCCATCTTGATGCATTTTTTTTTGTGTGTAAATTCTGGATAATTACTAAGCATTTCGTTTACACATTAAAATTCAAAAGAAATGTCTCCTCAATTGCTTAAAAGGACTAGTTTACATCCCTAATTTACTTTAGTAGCCTCAGCTCCTCCATGGTCACCAGTGTCCTTCCTTTAACAACCAGTTGTCAGACTCCTCTGGACACTGAAATATAATTTAACTTAATCATCAGGATGTACAGTATGTGTACAGGACACCAGTTTAGCTTCAACCTGCTGTTCTCATTCCTCAACAAGTTAGGTAGTAATGACACGCAACTAATTAACATTACTCCGTTACTAATTTAGCTAACGCTGTGACCTACACTGCACATGTCTGCCTGACCGACAACTTACTTAGTAATTTTATATATAAATATAATATTTATATAATATTTTCCTCCTCTAACTATTACCGTCACGTTCTCCCCGTTCTGCTGCTCGCTCGCTCTCTTACGCTGGCACACACACTCGCTTTGCACACAGGAACCAAAACAGCGATGAGCGTTGCTACAAGGTGTGCCGGTGAAAATCAATGTCGCAGTCATATTGATGACCGTGTGAAATTTTAGTAGCATGGTCATTCATTCAGCAGTGGCGAAACGCGTCGAATACAACACTGTTCTCAGACCAGTAACAGAGATCACAGGTCTCTGTTATGTGCACACCTCCGACTGTCTCATGCCTGGGGATGTCGCATGCTCAGGCGGCTCTCGAGGGGGCTGCCTGCGACCATTGCGAGGCCCTGCCCCTGAGGGTGCCCTGCCCCTGATGGTTCTTCCTAGAGGATGGTCGGGTGCGCTCCCCTCGTGGCACAGGCCCCGCGGTCGCTGAGGCGTCGCGGTGGCTCCGATCCTGGGGATCACAACGCGAGATTGCCGAGGGTGCCGGAAAGGCTGAGGCCTTTTTCCGTCCCCGATCGGGAGCCCGTTTCTTGGTTTCTCCCACTCAAGGGGCGAGTCCGGAAAGGCTGACACGATCTGGCTCTGAGGAGCTAGATGTGCTTAGCATAGAGGAAACGGAACGTCATCAGCCCTCGCCAGGATATGAGGAGTTGTTGGAAGTGGTGACGCGGGCCGTGGCCAAGCTGCACATTGATTGGCCACAGTTTCTGCAACACCGAGCGCCAACCCCGCGTCGGCCCCTACTATTTTTTCCGGATCTGCACAACGAGTTGTGTAGATCATGGAATAAACCCTTCGCGTCTGTCTACGTCCCCCCGGCTGGACTACAGCAACGTGACGGGAATCAGACAGCACGGCTACGGAGCGATGCCACGAGTGGAGGAGGCACTGGCTAGCTACCTCTCTCCCAACCTCGCCTCATCCCTCCGGACGCCGGCGCTCCCCACCAAGCCATGTCAGATGACGTCTGATTTGGTGGGCAAGGCCTACATGGCAGCGGGTCGAGCTGGTGCCAGCCTACATACGATGGCTGTCTTGCAGGCATACCAGGCCGATCTTCTTCGGGACTGTGACGTAGGGGGAGGTTCCAGCACGCCAAAACTCAGGGAGAGGCATTTGAGCGATATCTCCCCCGCCGGTCAGACTCCAGAACCACGACGGCTCAGGAAAGGCGGACGCAGCCTTCATCCAGCACCTACCGCCACAGCCAGAAGCAGAGCGTTGCTTCGCGGGATCCCCCTCAACCAACCTGGGACGCAAGACGGCGCTCTCGCCCACAGCCCCCCCGGGAAGATGGATCTGAGGACCGTCATTCAGTCTCGGCGGGCCTGGGGGAAGAGGTCCTGAGACCTCGAGTAGGGGGACCCACCACCACCCCCCCGCCTCCTCCCCCTCCCTGCCCCCCTTCCCCTGAGAGAGGCCGATCGAGGTCTCCTCTCTCATGGTTGCTCCAGCAATAGGCGTTGTTTCTCCCACCGCTTCAGCGCTCGGGACGCGCTAGCCGGCGGCAGGCCCTCGCCGATCTGTCCGCCCCGAGGGGCGGCAGCCGGAACACGACTGGGCTCACAAACCGTGGTTCACCGGCGAGCCTTCCCTGGCGGTCCTCCGCTTCAGGGCGCCACCGGGGATTCCCGCGGGACACCGGCCAACAGCCCCGAGGGGCTGGTCCCCTTGGCGAAGTTCGCGGAAGCTTGGCGAAGCCTCGCGAACATTTCCCCGTGGGTCCTCTGTAGTAGATGGCTACAGGCTGCAGTTCCGGGTTCACCCCCCCCAGATTCTGCGGGATGGTCGGGACTACAGTACACGCAGAACAGAGCCAGGTGTTGGGACAGGAAGTCCGCTCTCTGCTGAAGAAAGGGGCCATAGAATTAATTTCCCTGCCAGTCAGAGAAGCCGGCTTTTACAGCCAATACTTCCTGGTCCCCAAGAAGGACGGAGGATTGCGTCCGATTTTGGATTTGCGGTCCCTGAACCAATCTCTGAGGAGATTCAGGTTCAGGATGCTTACCATCCCAGCCATCATCAGTCACATCCAATCCGAGGATTGGTTTGTCACGATAGATCTGCAAGACGCTTATTTCCACATCTCCATCCGTCCCTCTCACAGGAAGTTCCTGAGGTTCACCTTCGGGGGCACGGCTTACCAGTATCGGGTTCTTCCGTTCGGCCTAGCACTATCTCCCCGCACGTTCACCAAATGCATGGATGCAGCTCTGGCTCCGTTGAGGCTCCAGGGCATCCGCATACTGAACTACATCGACGACTGGCTCGTCCTGGCCCATTCTCGAGAGTTAGCGGTTCGGCATCGAGATGTCGTCCTCGCCCACCTTCAGCGTTTGGGACTGCAGCTCAACGCGAAGAAGAGCGTGCTGACACCCGCCCAACGGACTGCGTTCCTAGGGGTGGTGTGGGACTCAACGACGATGCGGGCCCACCTGTCTCCCGCACGCATCGAGTCCATTTTATCCTCAGTGACCAGAGATACGGGTTACGAGCGGATGCCTTCGTTCCCTGTCCATATGGAGGAAGCCTTGGTTCCTGTCCCAAGGTCCTGTGTTGGGAGCAATCTGTCGCCGAACAATTATTTCAACAGACGCCTCACTCACGGGATGGGGCGCGGTCATGGACGACCGCTTCGCGAGAGGCTCCTGGGAGAAGCATCATTTCTCTTGGCACATAAATTGCCTGGAAATGTTGGCGGTTTTCAGAGCTCTGAGGAGTTTTCTGCCCACTCTCCGCAGTCGCCACCTCCTTGTCAGGACCGACAATACGGCGGTGGTGGCCTATTTGAATCACCAGGGGGGTCTGCGCTCGCGCCCATTATGCAAACTGGCACATCGGATCCTCCTGTAGTCCCAGGAGAGACTGCTGTCCCTCAGAGCGATGTACATCCCTGGGACCCAGAATCAAGGAGCAGACCTGCTGTCAAGACAGGGGTTGAGGCCCGGGGAATGGAGACTCCACCCCAAGGTGGTGGAGTTATTATGCGTTATAAGAGTTCAGCCCCATAGACGTGGACTTGTTTGCGTCCCGAGAGACGGCACACTGTCCCCTGTGGTTCTCCCTATCACCCCCAGCCCCGCTAGGGCTGGAAGCCATGGTACATGGGATGTGTGTCTCATGCCGGCCGAGGCCGCGTCTGTATGTGTTTCCCCCAGTCGCTCTGCTCCCGGGGGTTCTGGAGCGGGTCCGCCAGGACGGCGTCAGCCTACTACTAGTAGCCCCGTTTTGGCCGGCACGAGTATGGTTCTCGGATTTAATATCGCTCCTCGAGGGCCCGCCCTGGCAGGTCCCTCTGAGGAGAGACCTGCTGTCCCAGGCGGAGGGCCAGATCTTTCACCCGCACCCCACCCTGTGGCAGCTATGGGTCTGGCCCCTGAGGGGGCGCAGTTCTTAGAGGCGGGTCTTACGACAGGAGCAGTCGAAACGATACTCAGCTCCAGAGCCCCGTCCACGAGAAGGATGTACGGCATCAAGTGGAATGTGTTCACCACCTGGTGCAGAGAACGGGCGGTGGACCCAGTTACCTGCTCGGTAATTGTGATACTGGAGTTCCTCCAGCACCGTTTCTCCGCTGGCCTCTCCCCGTCCACGCTCAAAGTATATGTGGCTGCCATTGCAGCATTCCACGCCCCTCTGAGTGATGGGCCCTTGGGGAGGCTTCCGCTGGTCGTGCGCTTCCTCCGTGGAGCCCGGAGGATGAGACCCGTGACTCGTTCCAGGGTTCCCACCTGGGACCTGGCAGTGGTTCTCGAAGCGCTGGCTGAGGCCCCCTTCGAACCCCTGGAGTCGGCTGAGGCCAAGCACCTGACCCTTAAGATGACCTTTCTCCTCGCTATCACCTCTCTGAGGAGGGTGGGGGATCTCCAGGCACTTTCGGTGTCTCCCCGATGCCTGGAGTTTGCCCCGGGGAGGGTCAGGGCCATCCTGCACCCTTGTCCAGGTTATGTCCCTAAGGTTCCGGCCAGACTGGCAGGGTCCACGGTGCTGCAGGCGTTTCATCCCCCACCTCATGTGACGGCGGAGGACGGGAGACTTCATCTGCTCTGCCCTGTCAGAGCACTGAGTATTCTAAACACACCATCAGCAAATGGATCGTTCGGACTATTTCCCTGGCCTATCAGGTGCGCAGTTTGCCTTCACCTATGGCCGTAAGGGCGCACTCTACTCGAGGCATGGAGGCTTCTGGGGCCCTCCTCGCAGGGGCGTCACTCCAGGATTTGTGTGATGCGGCTGGCTGGGCCACCCCTCACACTTTTATCCGGTTTTACAGTCTGGACCTGCCTTCTGCACCCGGCACCCATGCGCTCTCCTCCTAGTCGTGCTGTTAGGTTCTGCATGCTGGGGGCAGGCGGGGTTTCGGTGCGGCCTAAGTGGGTATCTTGTTCCCATAGCGTCGTCAGCGACGCAGTTCGAGTTCCCTCGAAGGGGAACGTCTCGGGTTACGTATGTAACCCTTGTTCCCCGAGAAGGGGAACGAGACACTGCGTCGGTCCACCACACCTCACCCCGCCTGGAGTGCCTTGCTTCATAGAAAGGGCTAATGTGTCCTATGTGCCGGCGTGCTTATATACCCCCTCCGGTTACGCCGTCACACACTACCGTTCTAGTAACACCAATAGGATTGGAGTAGTTTCATTCATAGTTCAGCCCTGCCACGCCCAGGGGCGTTCCCATAGTGTCGTTACCGACGCAGTGTCTCGTTCCCCTTCTCGGGGAACAAGGGTTACATACGTAACCCGAGACGTTCTGAAGGTTCCGCCATTTGCGTTCCGTGAACATTATAGTATAGTACAGTATAGTATAACGTTACTTCTTTGTGATGCGGATGTGGAAGATTCTGAATTGATTATCAATGAGAGAGAGCGAGCAGCAGAACATGACGGTGAAAGTTATCGGAGGAAAATATATAAGTTACTTAGTAAGTTGTCCGTCAGGCAGACATGTGCAGTGTAGGTCACAGTGTGTTCGTTAAGTCTGTTGTTTCTGCAACTACTGGAAAAGTGAAGGCAGTTAACGCTAGCTAACGGTATTCCCAATTCCCATTTAAATTACGTCTTTTAATAGGCTACGTTTTGTGAAGTAGTTGTCTTTAATCGTCCAATGCATCTGTTAGGGCCTGTCCATAGGCTCGCCATTCATCTGTGATAACATCTGAGCCTCTTCTTACATGATGTTGGTCTGCAACAGGTCTTCTCTTGAGCGATCTTTCACCACCCTGACAATGACTTTTCTTGATGTAATTATGTTGTGTTTTTGTGCTAAACTGCAAAATGTTCAAAATTCATACAGATTTTCATAAAGTGAAGAAACATAAATAAAAGTTGTTTTCCTGCGCAAAATGTGTGTCACTTCACTTAAAGCAAACAATTACGTGTTATAAGGTCTTATAATTAGTTCATATGGTATAATGTCCACCTGTAATATATTATACAGGGATAGATATATAACACTTTACTTAAAGCAAATAAATGTATGCTATATAACTTTAAACATTACTATAAGCTATTATTCCATTTTAATTCACTTATTGTAAATGGTGTATCCATAACGAGGCAGAGTCGGTGGTTATAATGTGTTATGGAACATGGTCAGAGATTCTTGCCGCACATTGATATAAACTGGTATTAATATTCGTTATAAAACATTAAATCAAAAGGTCAATACGTTATGAACTTCGCTATAGCGCCTAATGCATGTTTGTAAGTGATTATAACAACTGTTTTAATGTCTTATGGACATCGTGTTATAAATATATGCATAAGTCATTATAGCGATGACCTTCATAGAAAGTGTTACCAACAAAACTATTAAATGTAAGTTAAAGATGAGGAAGAGTACTGCTCACCCTCACAGCTCTTTCCATCTGGTTTGAGTTTGTAGCCTTTGAGGCAGGCACAAGTGTCATTGCCCACACACAGTTGAGCACATTTCCCTTAAAAAGAAACACACACATGTTGATCACTGCATTTGCAAGGCTAAATCAGTTAGGCGTAGATACACTTGTTTATTTGCGTATTATACTACAACCTTTGCAGAGATCACTTAATACAGAATTTTCTCCATTTTCAGTGGTTTCATCCTTGTTCAGCACTGTGTGAGAGAAAACAAACCATGTTTATATGTATATGTCTCACACCTTAACAACTTATCAATTAAACTGCATTCACTTTCTTGATTAACGGAATAATCATTTGGTCTATTAAATGTCCACTACAATTTCCTAGAAACAATTTCCAATTTCCTACAAAGGCCAAGATGACATCCTTAAATGTCTTGTTTTGTCAATCATTCTGTCCAAAACCCAAAGATATTCAATTTACTATTCAATAGGATAAATATAGGCTGCAAATCCTCACAATGGTGAAGTTGGAACTTGGAAAGCTTTGGTATTTTTGCAGGAGTGCCTTCGAGCACCACACTAAATCCCCACCAGCTCAGAGTAGGTGTCCTTTGGCTGAATCTGACCTGCTTGTGTTTTTGAGCGAGCGAAAAGATGAATTTATCCTTGGAGTGTAATCACTGTTTACACTTTCAATACGTGCAATGGCAACATACATCCAGCAGGGGACAGAGTGGGCTTATGTTTGACAACACCAGTGGCGCTTCATTATTCCTCCTTTTTATGTTTTTCCTCCAAACGTTTGTGAAATTTGATGTGGTTGGGCACGTTTTCCTGTACTGTTTTCTGTTCTTCTGCCCTTACTGTATAGCTACTTGCCTGCTTTGATGCAAACAAACTTGAGGGAAACATGTAATATTTTGCCTGGTTCATGCCTGTTGTTTGTTTTTTCACCCACATTCAATTTGTCCTAAATGTGTGGTTTGGTTGTCTGGGGCTCCATCCACGCAGCAGGCCCGGGACACCAGGCCACACTGGTATCCCACGGACAGGTTGTGGTCACAGGGTAGGCCCTGCTCCTGGGCTGTCTTACCCAGAAGACAGCAGTCACAGCACATCTACAAAACACAAATTAGAATACAGAAGATTACATTTTTACAAAGAAAGGAGAGGAAAACAGAGAATTATTACAGGACTTTAGGGAAGGGGAAACCAAAATGTAGACAAGGAAAAGGGGATTGTGGAATGACGTTAGTTGGTAAAATACTGTAGGCAGATAAGACAGGCTTTTACAGTGACAACTTTGGAGGATGTGATTTAGAAAGAAAGCCAAGCTCTCAATCAACCAGACAGGCAGACAAGGAGGTTGATTGAGAAGAAGCCAACTGACAGACTTCAGACAGACAGACAGACAGAAGAAAAGCAGGAAGTCAGTAAACAAGATGGACAGTCAGACAGTGATGAGATGACATCATCCCCTCTGGCTGATGCATGCTCAATCAATCATTATAGTAGCCTGGTAATGTCAGTTGGGGAGGGGGATGAAAGGTGAAGACTGTGGGGGATGGGCACATTTGTGTTTCAGTTTGGGCAATAAGGGTACTTGAAATGTTGCCATGTGTGGTGTATATGTATTGTGATTGCGAGAGCATGGCTGAACACGTGCCACACATGTCTTTCAAGTATTACAACTCTAATAGTTGTAGAGTAGTTCAAGAGTAATTCTGATATTATTGAACTTGAGCCCTCTTTTTTACATATTTTGGAGTCTAAATGACTGATGAAATTAATAGCTACATAAGGTTTTGTCCAGCAGCCACAGAACAGGCTGCAAAGTAATCCTTGCGGGGTAATTCTGCCCATAAAAAGCATGTCCACTAAAAGTGCTTGGTTTTACCACTGAATCTGCGTACTAGCATATCTAAACTTCACTAATAAAAATGTTATACCTTGTTTGTTCACAGGTTGTGGTTTTAAGGGAGGGTACGTGTTGGACAATTTCTTGGTCGAGGTGCAGGGGCTTCCCGATGTCTCTGCTGGTTGTTTGACTACAGAACTTCAGGAAGTTGTTGCGCCCAGCCAAGAAAATGTTAAACACTCATTTTTATATTTATATTTTGAAATCAAAAGACATGTAACATGTTAGTAAAGGCTCAGAGTTGCTGGTTGGCAGATTATTTTACCTTTGGCTGGAGCCATGCTAGGTGTTTTTCTCCGCTTCCAGTCTTTATGCTAAGCTAAGCTAACTATCTCATTGTTGGAGCTCCGTAGGTGTTGCAAAGATTCTTGTCTAGCATATTTCCCAAAGATATGTTGAATATTTCTTTAATGGTTAGGATTATTCTTTCTCACATTTTGTCCTAGTGTTACAGAACAGTTACATATTTTGGCATCACGCCATTTCTGTACCATCCTCTGGCGTGACGTAATACTCCGCACTCTTTGCCTATGTTTTTGCCTCTGAGTTCCCCCAGGCATCAAGGCCGGTAACACGTCATTGAGGGTTTAAGGTGGGGACTGATTTTCATTTCTTGCTTCATAATTACTGTAAATGTAGGGAAGCGATGCACAAATAAACCTGACTTAACCAGCATTTTGTCCAGTTAGAGGAGTTGATTCCGTCTCCTACTCATCCATATCTTTTGTCTTATTCACATCACCTGGGCACATTTGATTGAGTATGAGCCACCATTTGCACTTTCTAGTTGATCAAGTAAAGACAAGCTGTCCCACTGACAATTATCTCATCCTTTAAAGAAAGTGCACCAACTTGCATCTCTTCCTTTCTACATTTTGCCAAGCATTTATCTTTGTGATGTGTTGATATGCAGTAGGGGCACATTGAGGGTGGGTTTAATTAAAACAAATATAAAAACGCTGACAAAATGCTTGGACATGAGTCTGTGGTAGATCCAAGAGTCAGAGCTAAATTTATAATCTATCTGACAGCAACAAGCTCCATTCCTCCCTGGAGTGGCATGCCTCATCCTGCTTACAGCACACACAGACACACATACGCACACACACACAAATGAACACCATTGTTCTCATCTATCATTTGCCTCAAAACTGGCTGTCCAGCAGCGTGATGTACTGTACATTGTCTGAGTAGAGGCAGATTTTTGGTGCGCACAGTGATTTCATTCCCTCTTTTTGTTATACATGCATACTCATGCGCACATATAGGTAAAAACAAACCTTTGTAGTCTTGGTCTCGCAGGTGCTGGTGAACAAAGAATCGCAGGCTCCTTGATCTTTCGCCATGTTGATACCAGTGGTGCACATTTTATCCTCAAGCACTGTTACACAGCACTGCTCCTGTACGATCCTGTCAGCAAGAAAAAACACAAAACACAGGTGGTGCATTTATTCTCAGCTCTATCAATAATCTCCTTGGTGCATTACAACTCTGCTTTAGAGTGTAGCCCATTAAAATCAGCCTCAGGCCAGCCTGATGGGGATCTCAGAGTTGTCACACTAAAAATGCGCAGATGAGTGGGTTGAGTAAGCCCTATGTGAATTCAGAGGGGAGCTCTGAAAGTTTGTTGTGTTTTGCAAAGCTGATTTCACTGGACTTAAACTGGGTTGAGCAGCACTCCCTGAGGTCTTTGTTCTGTTGTTTTAGACTCGAGTTAAACCAACATTTCAACCCTAAGATGAACATTTGTCCACCTCCGCATCTCCTTATTCACAGTGGGATTGTGGTTTTTTGAAGGCATTACTCTTAATAATACTCATATCACTAAAACACACAACTCCCCTAAGATAAACATGCTGTGTCCTGTGAGAAAGGAGAACAGTTAGCCACAAATTGTGTGACAGTTGCCAGTATAGAGTCTGCTAGTGGTCAATGACGTCATTGAGCAGACTCATCCCAGTTCTTCCTCAGAAATCAGTGATGACATGTTGCAGATGTAATTTAAAACATTGCTATACGCATAAAGTGAGTAACACTTTTGTACAAGAAGTATCGCAGCCGACCTTGACCTCTGAGCTCCCTGCACATGAGGATCAGAAAATTACGGGGATTAATAAAATACTGCATATTACTATGATGGCTGTTCAAATATCAAAAAGCAATATTTGGAACAAGCGCATTCCCTCACATGTGAGGATTATTATCAAAATATCAGTTACTTAAAGTTTAAGTTTGATCAGATTTCATTGTATTGTCTAGCATTTGCAGTCCAATCAGTTAAGAGTGGGTTTCTGTCTAGCTGGATCTCTGTCGCACTTAAATTTTACAAGACACAAAGCATAAAACGCCACCCCCTCACCTCTCCTCTCTCATTTCCAACAAGCCTCTTTATCAACTATTACCAGGAATCTCTTTCCACATAAACCACTGTAGATCTCAAATTCACGTCAAGCCGCACACCTCCTCTGCAGAACCTTTTAAGGGCACAGTCGCGCTCCTGTTTTTCTTTTCTCTTCTCCTCCACTCTTTTTCTCTCCTACTTTTTTCCTTTGGTGTCTGAAGTAATCATTCAGATTTCCTGTTATTGCCTCTCTCGATCCCTCCTTATGTCTTGTTTCACCTCTGAGGTATTTCCTGGGTTTTGAAACAGCCCCTCTTCTGACCCCCCTCACCCTTTTCCACCCTGCTCCCCCACAAACCTCTGCCCTTTTCCTCTCTTCCCCTCACACTATAATTTGAACAAATTTGGGATCTGTTAGGGTGGCTATGGTAAATGTGTTTGCCATCAGTGTTCACAGCAGCAGATCTCCATGGCTTATGGGTCCTGAACCTGTGGCAGCACACCTTCTAGGGTTACTAGCAGACCTGTTATTATCCCATCACTATTAGTGTTTCCTGCTCTCACGTGAAGTGAATAATGTGCCTGGAGATTTATAGGAGTAAGGTAAAGCAATCTCATATTAAGGGCCGACACACATTTCCCCATACATGGTTCAGGCCAAATCCTTTGGGGCCAGTACTGCAGGAGCTTCTGTGGTGCAGATAGGAAATGTAAGATTGTGACAAAGGGTGCAGCAGTTAATGACTAAATCTGAATAAGCTGTAGGCAAGTCTAACCAGCCCTCTTAAGCCTTGTGATTTATTGCAATCAATGAGAGCAAAGTAGCAGATAGAACTTGCTTACCTGCATGTGGTTGACTCAGAGATAAGAGGGAGGGATGCACAGTCTTCATTATCATTACCACGCTTCTGACCATCTTTACAGCAGTCCTCCATTGAAATCTGATTGGTTCCTATGGGCATTGAAAAGAACAAAAGGTATATTTTTGCATGTGTGAACAGGTGAAACGGTGTGTACATCGCATTTACTGTGCAATGTAAGAAGGACATATCTGGCATTGTCTGGTCTGCTGCAGCGAGGTGACCCTGATCTACATAATCACTGCAGGAGATGTTTATACCCCAGATGGAGTATTTCTGCATCTGCACATACACAAAACAGTTAACACACTCACCTTGAGACTAGTGTCTTGTGATATTAAGCATTAACTATTTAACAAACTCACTTTCTTTAGGCAAAGTGAGTTATGATGATCAAAAGTGATTATCTAACCCAAACAAACAAGGATGTTGCCATTATACTCTAAGGCAAGTTGCCTAGCATTCTCTAAAAGATGGAAAAACTAAATTCAAATCTTTCTGGCAAATTAAACTGCCTTTAGGCATTTTTTTGCCAAAGACAATGAATGATGGATATGTTGTTGCAGACACAAGAGGGCTTTTTGACTGGAGCACAACCAACTCTGTGGTGATCTGGCTGTTTATTCATGTGGATTAGAGAGCGTGGAATGCCTCGACTCTGTAAACAATCAGCTGTCGCAATCACATCAAGTACATTCATTTGCCTGTGGTTTCTGTGATCTGCCAAACGTGAAATAGCTTTGGCAGATCGGATCCTTGGACTTTTTTCCTTCGGTTCAGTGAATCCGATCAGTCTGCCAAATTGTTATTAACAATAAGTCCCTCGAGAAAAAAAAAGAGAAACAAACTCACCGTGAAATAAATTTTGTTGATCCATTGTAACAGAATACGAGTTGTTGCTGGTTAGTGACTGAATGCTCTGAATTATAGGGAACAGTTATTGTGAAATGCACTGAACAAATCCATCTGTTTGAGACACAGCGTCTGCCGTGAGAAGTCTGGCAAGAGTCAGCAACTTCAGATAATAAGTTAGATTAGGTAGGGAGGACAACTGTCTGGAATGGCAGTCCTCAGTTTTATAGATTTGCTGCTTTCTCCCATGGGGCAGGAGGAATTTTATTCTAAACATTAAATCAAAGATGAAGCACAAGCAGGAATAGTCATCATTACAAACAGTTTTCTGCATTGATAAACTCTGTTACAACACAAAGCATTGCAATAAAATTATAAAATCTTAATTTTTCAGAATAGTGTGCAGACTTATATAAACCCAGTTCCTCTGCCCAAAACTAAGTAAGGGCAAGATATAACAAAGACCAAGAGTTTATTAAAATTAACATATGTGGTTTTTCTGAAGAAAGCGAGTCATTTCTCCAGTATAGGCTACAGGAAAACAAAGCACAGAATTAAAATATTGTGACTATTGCTGCTACATAAAGGATGATTAACCTGGCAGAAAGGAGTGAATATGGATAAAGGATTTATTACATTGGCAGCCAGATTAGCTGACTCACTACTGAAGTCTGGCATATCCCAGAATCCTCTAGCCAATAAACCTTGTAGCAGCTGGATGAAATGAGATGGCATTTTAAAAGCTTTTCACATGAGCCTACCAAGTAGGCCATTTCAAAGTCTCTCTCTCTGTCTCTGAATGATTAAGACCTCTATCTGGTTGCAAAGTAACACCAGGATGTTCCAACAAGACTGTACCAAAATATGTTGATTTCAAAGTTGAAAGATTTTAGTTCCGACTAATGCCATAATTGACTAAACAATTTGTATTTTAACCGGAAGGCTTAGGAACACCTTTCCAGTTTCCACAAGATAAATAATCTCAAAAACTTTTTCTCCAGAAACACAGTATGTATATTTTAAATGACCGAAGTAGTTGGTCGTATACTGTAACTTCTCCCACTGTTCTGTTCTAAAGATTTCTCCCAACAGTAGCTCTCTGCTGATAACTGTAACCCACTAGGCATCACGGAGTAATTCCAACGCCACCACTGTCTGCTACTCTAGCAAACCTAAACTGAAAGACCAGAAGTGCCGTAAAACTGTATGGCACTGTTTTATCAGAAGAGGCAAACCAGGCGCAGCCATGCTCCGGTCTATATGTAGTCTGCGATTGTTCTCTGTCTATGTGATTCATTGTCTGTCTGGAGAGGGCTGATTTCCATTTTGGATGATGGTGTCGATTGTGAGGGCCATTCTGTCTTGGCAGAGCAGCCCATGGCTTGCCTGAGTCTAGACGCCTCATGTAAACAAGGCTTAATGAGCCTACTGGTGGAGCTCCGCCCAGACAGAGTAGTTGGCTTTAGCAGGACTGCACATCTCTTCTACAGGAGGAGATGATAGTGATATAAAAAGGCTGTTACACAAGAGGTAGATGTTTTTCACTGTGTCTATGTTCCTATCTATCTATATGTAAAACATCAACATATTAATGTCATATTCCCTCTTAACATGACACATTTTAAAGAATTATTGTGAGCCAGGTTCAGGTGTGAGGAAGAAGTTTCAAAGACTGACGTAGACATAACATAGCATAGTTTATTGAGCCTGGCCGAGAAGACACAGTGCCAGCATACAACATGGGAACATGTCGAAAGCCAACACCAAAACTGAAAGATACATCTTTTGGTCCCTTTTATGTTTCTCTCTTCTCCCTAGTGCCTGTAGGTTTTCCCTCTTAGGTCATCTTTAATCAGCCTTCACCTAGAAAAACAAATCTATCTGATGTTTAGATGCCATGCTACATCATATTGAAATCTATTTCTATCCATGAATTGTACTCTAATCTGGGGAACCAGGAAGTTCTTTTAAACATTCTGGTAAGACTCAACTTTGCCAGATTCCCAGAAACACCAATATCTGCTAGCCTGACACCTGAGCTACTATCTCTACCTTATCAGTCAAACTGCTCCCTAACAAGGACAGTTACATGTGAGAAATAACTAGAGCTTCAAGCTAGACCTGTCTTACCTTTCCCTGTTACATCAATTAAGCCCCCTAGGAATATTCTTTAACAACACACATCGGTACTTCAGGGAGTTTCGCTAATGTAATAGGTCAAGCTGTTAGCTGACTGAATTTTACTCTACACTGACACCACACAAACTCCCTACAAAGAAGGCACCTTAGAGAAAAATGGCCCTGGTGACTGCAAAATTGCCCCATGTGGTGACCAGGGGACAATGAGCATTTGGATATGGCTCATACCACGCCTGGGTGACCCTGCTGTGGGCACTCAAGTATAAATCACACCCCTCTGTCTAGATCATCCTGTCCTGCTGAGACACTGGTTATTCTGACATACCATCACAGCATACCAAGGCACTTGGCCTTGACTTGCAGGACAGAAAGTAAGACACCAGGGCTGAGTGAACTCTTACTTACAACTTCGGTGAAACTGCATTTTAACACTCTTCATGTCATGTGACATCTTCTTTTATCACATTTCATTAATCAAGTTGAATCTAGTCTAACCAAATGTAATGAACACAGTTCAGTAGACTATTTTATATCACATTCAAGCAAATAAATAAGTGTAATATCTGGATTTTTCCAACAAATTGCAGTTTACAAAGTGTTTAAGTGACTTTATTTAACACTATGTCATTATAAACCAGTCTATATATAAAATTGTCATTCTTATAAAGTATTAATTGTAATGTTTTCTTTCCAGTATGTAATGAAATAAGGTGAACCTTTAATCCTATTTCAAGACCAACCTGCAACACTTTGACATGCCCCAACTAGTCCTATGACAAATTCATCACCTCACAAGGTCTCACTCTTTGTCTATTACCAGTTTGATTCTCACTGTAAACATCGTTTCATATTAAAAGTCATTTAACAAAAAATATTCACCCACATCAACAAGCCTATCACCATCACACCAACGCCATTCGTTATCTTGGTTTGTCCTAATTAAATACCGTTCAGTAGTAGTGAGTACAGTTTCTTACAGAAAGGTAACTTACCTTGGCCATGGAGAACTCCGAACAGAGTGCACAGCAGCAGTACAGACGGACCCATTGAATGAAACGAGATTCAACTTAAAAATGACAAACTGTGCCGAGAGCTTTGAGCCGTAACCGATGCTGGTTATTCTGCAAGACGTGTGAATAAACCGCAGTGCTCCTTTACAAAAGAAATCCTGAGTCCGCAGGAGAGAAGTGGATGTGATGGAGTTGAGTGAGTCGCAGTTGCAGCGTGACTGGAGGAATGAGCGTCTAATTATGGCACTGTGAGGGGCGGGCGCTGGACCCACAGACACCGACTTATTGCTAGTCAGGTCCTTTTTTTCTAGTATGAACTCCAAATTAAATCCGTGATCACTTTGACTGTATATTACAATTATACTAACATTTTGGGACTATTAGACTCAGATGAGATCACATGGTAATGTATTCCTAAACTCGGAGAGGAATGTTTATACAAAATGCCTAACCCCTGTTTTCTTTTATGATTGATATATTTATGCCTGTTGGAAAGTATAAGACCTGAAATACTACCTAGGGAGATGTGGGCTGCCATAATTTTTATTGCTTACAGGCAGGAATTGCAAGTGTCTTCGGGCTACTGTGCTTTAAGGTATGCATGCACACATGGAAATTGTCTTCCCATCAGTGGCAAAGTAGACTCTTTCTGTCTGTGACTAATGATTGTACTGATTACTCCACATCTGGAACCAGTTTTGGGGTATTTAAAAAAAATCTGTTGAGGCTATGTCCAGACTGTAAGCCTTGAAACCTTTTGGATACCTCAGTGAGAATATGGGGAATCAAAAAATAAATACTTTCACAACCACTGTCTGCAAATAACTGCATTTATGTACTGCTACACTTGAGTTTGCTGCACCTTAAGGAAGATATAGATTGCATTGGAACCTGGAAACCTCCCTAATATTTTAATTCCCACTAATACTGTATCTGCACATATATATTTATGCTCTCTGTAGGCCTAACGCTGAGCCTATTTTTCTCTTTAGTTACTAAAGTTCACAGCTGTACCAAAGAAAATTAGGCATTTTCCTTCAAAGTTAATGAATTAAAGCTTTTGTAACAGTGCCACATATGTGGGCTCACCGTCAGCCAGAGTGATCATGAACTGTGAGAAGGAGCTGGGTATAAACAAGCTACACACCCAAATGGATGCACATACACACACAAGTCTACCAGAACTGGCAAGAAACGGAGAAATGATTGCTAGACTGCATTATAAACATTTTGTACCAGCTAAGGCCCTCTGCAAATTCAATCAGTCTACTGACTCTGGGCATGGTGACAGAGAGAGGTTAAATGATCTTCTAATCAGAGCCATATGTCTCCACCACCAGTCTAGCCAGTCTAGAAACATCACCAAGGACTTGATATCAGGACACCACAGGCATACAGGAAAGCTCACAAGTATATGGCAGTTATAAATAGGTAACTGGGCTGTAAGTGTAGTGTGTGATGAGTCTTGTCTCAATCTCTGTGCTCTGCAGTCCACCACAGTTTCCTGTTGGTAACTGTACTGTTAACAATCTTTCTATAAGACCACATTTTGATAGACTATACTAGTGTTTTGAATGTGCAGGCCCATTAAAATGCATAATATACATTTATGGGTGTTATTTATACCTTCCAGACAGTCTCTTATGTCTATTTGCTAGATAGTACTGTTGCAGAGCTGGCTTATTATAGTGGGAGTGTGGATTTATTGCTATTTATCTTACTGCTATTTACCTTATTTAGAAAATGCCTTTTTCAGTCTTGGTATTCAGGATCCAGACTTTCTCATAAAGCCTACTTGAAAACACCCCACTATGGTGTAAAGATTTGATAGCAGAATTTGCTCGATGTAATGCATTACAGTGAACAACATATATTTTGATATTTTTTTCTTGTCTTTTACTCTGCAGCTGCATGGTAAAATACAAAATGTTTTGTAAATCAATCTGCACTTACATTGCCACCCTACAGTACAGCATTTTAACAATGACAATAACAGAAGCAGTGTTGTATTGTAATGGATTACCTAACTTCTGCAGGTTGATGCTAATACCTTAGCAAAAATTAATGAAAACCAGTGTCTGGAGTGAAAAATCCCAAAACTCCAGCATACCTTGAAAAGTGACGTTAAATATTTAGTAAATGAAAAAAACAAACATGAAAGGACACCTGATCCTGGACACATATTTAATCTGTGCAGTAGGACCTCTGATGCTAGACCTTTGTAATGTAACAGCATTTACACCAACAAAGGGCACCCCTTTCCTGCAGACCTGTCTTAATCTTATCTTTGCCTTAGTGTAGTGTAGAAGAGATTATAGTCCTTTAAAGGCCATAATGAATCAAGAATGCCCAAAATGAGAGCCAGACCAGTGTCAGGCTCCAAGCCTGGCTAGAGCTTGGTCAACATCTGATGGCAACTTCTCATGCCTGTTAGCCCTCCTCTCCACCTCCAATCTACATTTGGGCAAAAACAAGAAACAGCAGTGTGAGCTGACTTCCTTGCTCACAGGTGGAGGAAATTGGAGTGGCCTAGGTCGCAATCAAACAGTGTTAATCTTGTTGTTTGGGGTGCAGTACAGTTCCTTTGAAGCTCAACAAAGCTTGTCTTGCCAGGTCTGTGTCAATCAGCAGAGGGCCACTAACACAGTCAGGCAGTCAGAGGGCTGCCCGGTGGTGCTCAAAGGACTTGTTCGCTGTAACACAATTGTAGAAACTTGTTAAAGGAGAAAGTGGCTTTGCTTAACTGTAAAGTATATGTTGTAATGAGGGTACTAATACTATATATATTGATTATACCCTATAAACACCTGCAAGTTGACTGTCATGCAAGCAGCTTTATGCTACAGATTTTGACTTAGGAGAAATAGATCACAATGGTGAGTGCCAAGAATTGTTGCTGAGTTAAAGTTTTCTTAGAAGAAATTGTCTCACATAACATTTGCACTGTGCTAGCGCTTCACAATGAAATCTGAAATAAATAAATAAATAAACATAAATAAATAAATAAACATAATTACACATTACATTTATCTTTACAACATTAAATCTGTAGTTCTGCACTACGTTAAAAAGCCTGACAAATTAGACCAAGCTGAAATATTGTGAACATTGTGTAACAATGGAACATCTTAAACTGTGGCTTCATGAAACAGCTTTGAATCCTTTGATGTTTTAATTTTACTGCCCTTGAGGGGCCTCACAACACATCTTATTCCACATAAGATAGACCACAAACATCAAAGCTCAGGATTATCATCCTTCCTCTGATCACTGCTATATTTATACAGGAAAAACACACCAGACCTGACTTTAGCTCAGTGTTGATGAACCTATATATCTACTGAGGGAAGATTAATCACTTCAGCAAATTGTTGACTTGAATTGAAAAAGACTGCTTAACTTAAACTGGAAGTTTTAGTCAGAGATTGAAGCCATTTCTTCTTTCTGAATCATTAAACATATCAAACATTTTTGGTGTCCTGAAGGTAATTGTGCTTCATAAATGTTTAAATTATAGTTTAACACACCACATATTAGCTGGTGCTGGCAGTGTTGTCAAATATCTAAGAATTTAAAACATTTGTGCTTTCATACTGCTCCCTCCTCTCCACTAGGCCAGCTTGGTCTATCCTGGGAGTCTGAACACGTGTGCTGGCGCTTTGCAGGCTGGGATATATGCTCAAGAGATGAGAGTTGAGAGTCAAGAGGGGAAGTATGCATCATCTCCAGTTTGATTTGTGGGAAGGTCTGGTCAGGGAAGACGATCCTCAAGTGCTCTTCAAACTGCTCCTTAAGCTTCCTGCCTGCCATGGTGACCTCTGTGTCAGCCTGACGAGCAAGTAGAGGCAGGGATAAGTGTCAAGAACTGGATAATATTGAAAAAGGTTTTTTTTGCAAACAGTTCTTCCTAAATTACCTCACTGAGGACTGCAAAATTCTGAAAGATGAGCCTGATATCTGATATAAACTCTGCAGGGCTTTGATAGCACAGACTCTGCTTAGCCTCTAGTCGTTTTTTCACAGGGGAAAGATACATCAGTCCATTTATAGTCAGCCTGCTATTAGCATGTACCTACAGTATTTAGAAAGGGAGAGACAAAAACAATAAAACAATAAAACTCCATGGGAAGATGTTGAAGTAAAAGCATGATTAATAATTCATATTTATATAGTATAACATGTCAGCATTGTGTACAAGAGGTAATGGATTTTTACCTACTTTGTTATGTAAAGGTTTATAATTAACAGAGGAATTTAAAACCAAAAATAGTCACTGCAGTTAAGTTCTGCACACAAAGTGTTGTATGTACTGTAATGTACAGTTTATAGTCTATGATTGTAAACATTAATCACATACTACAAGCTCTGTGTCAGCCAGACAAATATTTGTATATTTGCAGTACCTGATTAAAGTTGCTCTGCTGCTGATTGATAATTTCTCTGTCCTTACTGGTAAATACTGCATGTTACATGTCATTAAAATTACAGTTACAGTAACTCCATGTGACATTAATCCTGAGAACTTTTCATCTGTAATCAGCCATGCTTCCAGACTCACCGTAGGGGACACAGGCTCTTGAAAGTTGGAACTCAGGTCACTGCAAAACAAGTGTAGCAACAGCCTCTCACACTTCTGCAGTGATAGAAAAAGAATCTGGCTTAATACATGTCAATTAATAAAGAGGGAAACCAAATATAGTCTATTGCATTGGCTTAGTTAATGATTTGAAGTACCATATTGGTGAGGTTTGCCTCTCAGAACTTAGCTGATGCTTATCAATTTTTTGTCAGCCCTAACACTGATTCTTAGCTGTTGTTAAATCACTGAAAAACAGTGCATCAAGTAACGTATTGCTTTTCAGATACTTAGCTTAATGCAACATTATATTGACATAAACAAAATTCAGTAAATCTGCAGTTTTCTTCAATACTACTATCATTAAAAGTTGTTCTTCTACAACAAAATAGTGGCTGATGCATATCATTTCAAACTGGTTTGTGTACTCTGGAGAGAACTGGGTGTCTTGAGTCTGGTGGTAAAATTCAGGCTAGCCAATGAGTGTGCTAGGAGGGCACTGTAATGTGCAAACTGTTGTATGTACCTACAAACAAACTCCAAAAGCTTGCACATAAAGATAGAGGATGGAGAGAGAATTTCAGCATTTAGTCATGATTTTGGAAAAAATATTACTGTGTTTGCCATGGATGAAACTACAAACTACAAACTCAAATGTGCAGAGGTGAGATGAGGTGAACCATCATTTTATCTGCAACAATGCTTTTGCCATCATAATGACATGTGTCGGTACTCTGCTATGCATACTTTTAATTGCCCTTCTTGGGATAAATAATGGAGTTTAACTGAAACTGAACTGAATTTAATTAATGGCTGGCATTGTTTACAGCTAATCAGAAAAGCATAACTGGAACTGTCTAACTTAACTTTGTGCCAATAAAACAATGTCTTATTGTAATTACTCTAATTCAATAAGCTTTATTGTAACCAAATTACTGTTTTAATTTTAAAAGAGTACTGACTCGTTTGTCCACAGGGGAAAATCCTCCTTCATCTGGCTCCTTCTTTACTTTTCTGGCTTCGGGTTTGCTTTCATACTCCATCTCAGGCACCAGCAGGTCACGGCAGAAAGAGCAAAACCATTCCCCACTGAAAAAAGATGGTCCAGAGAATCATAAAAAAAATCAGTGATCAGCAACATACTGCATGTACTTTAACAAAGCATAATATGGCTGTCACACCTCCAAAATGTGTAAAAAAATTGTCCAAATCAGCTTCATTCTTAAAAGTTGAAGGACTCTTTTTTTCATTCCACAGTTGACAATAATCCCTTTATTCTAGTATAAACATTAGTGTTGTAGTCAAGACTACAGTTTATCAAGACGGAGACAAGACCAAGCCTTTTAGGGGCTAAGACCAAGTTGAGACGATGACCAAGGGAGAGCGAGACCGAGCCAAGACCAAGACCAGTTCCCCACATTACATGACACACATTAAAATGTGGAAACGAGATAATAGGTACTTCTTAAATTGACACCCACATACAAACACTAAGAGCTGAAATCAACGTAAGCATCTTTATCAACACTCTTTCCATGCTTACCATCACGGGGAGGGTGACCGTCGTTACCAGTAACGAAACATTTTTAATTAGGGTTATTGGTTGCATTTGAAGCAACACGTTTTACATCCAATCAAAGTTAGAATGTTAACAAATCAATCAGACAATGCAAAAGCAATTTATTGAAATTTTAAAGTTAGGTCTTGACCGGTCTTAAAATAAAATTCCAAGTCCTCTGTCAGAGTCCTAGGTGGTCGAGTCCGAGATGAAACCAAGACCATCAAAAAGTGGTATTGCTTGAGTACTACAACACTAATAAACATAAACATTAAAAAAACAACAACATAAGTTATGGGGTTTCCATCTGAGATCAGCGATTAATAAATTTCCCCTGACAGAGCTTGCCTGGGAGGTTTCAGTAGAGTTGGAACATGGCACGAAAGGTGAAACACCTTGGGACACTTATCGCAGCACAGCAGCTCTCCCCCAGTCTGACACACCACACAGAAGGCTTTGTTAGAGTCTTCCAGAAGAGATTGGTGCTGGTCTATAGGCTGCTGTTCTCCTCCGAGTGAACAGATGTGATTAGTCTTGCTCTGGTCCCGTGGGTTGCTTAGAGGCTGTGAAGGGCATTGGGGTTTGTCATCCATGTTTTGAAGAGGAGTTGGGACTTTCATCCCCTCACCTTGGGTACTGATTTGGGGTTGGTCACCTGTGCTATCAGGGAGGCTGGCTTTTTGGTTTGTTTGCACCTGAAATCCACAAAGAGATTGTAGCAATAGTCTCTGTCGCACCAATTACTGTGGTGAGTACAGGATAGAAATCATGGCCAAAACCACAGGACCCAAGTTGTAATAAACTGCAAATTTCCTAATGTACTCTAATATCTGTCCATTGCATTTAAAAATGCAGCTTTTCTACAGTAACAAGAATATGAATAAAAATTCAAATCAGATTGGTATATATGGAATACTAATTAGACTGTAATAATCATTTATTGTCTCCTTACGTAGCTCCTGTCATCATCTGGCTCATCTTTGATGACTATGATGGGCCCTGGAGACAACCTTCGTCTTTTCTTGACAGCTGATCCCACTGCTCCACTAGCCTGTTGTGGTTCTGGAGGTCTCCAGGAAACAATACTTTGGGGCAAAGCATGAACCAATTAGAATAAAACAAAATTCACTAGAGAGACCAATAACACAAAGGGACTGGGGCCATAGCAAGGTTGTACTGTTTAAAGCTACACAAAAATCAGAGAAAGAGAGATACATTCTGTGCTGTGTGTGTGTGTGTGTGTGTGTGTGTGTGTGTGTGTGTGTGTGTGTATGCAGCTGTCTTCTTACCCTGGTTTCTCCTCCTGGGAATCAGTGTACCCTGGTGAATTATGTTGTCCTTGCACTTGAGAGAAATAAAGGTCTGTGTCTTACTTTATTAAGAGTACAGCAATACATACAGTCTGTTAATGCACAAATGGCACTGATGGCAGAGACATACCATTTCTGTGTAGCAAAGAAGGTGGCAGGCTCTGGGGATTGTTTGGTTCCAACATGTATGGACCAACTGAATCTTTCCTTCTATTCAGATATGTGGGCTCAACCTAAACAAACATTGCATGCCATTTACTACCATATAAATACAATGCATACCAATATAGTTTACATTAATGGATGGAGTCACTTGCCATCTGTCGTGATTTGGCAAACCAACGTCACGATTGATCGGCAGTGGTGTTATATGGGTGTAGAAAGGGGAAGAGGAAAATACGTCTATAGGTTTGGGTTGGTAGCTGGAGTTGCTACCCATATCCCTCAGAGGCTAGAAATGAAAGAGGGAGAAACACAAAGACATATAGAAATGCCTCAATCATGTTCATGCTACATTCCTGTCAGCATTTATAAGCATGTGATGATGGAGGTGGAGATGAAAGGGTGCACTTTTGTTCCCCTGTCACCGGCTGTGTGGGTCTATGCCCCCTGGCAACAACTAGAACAGAGAGAATTAAACCATAAACAAAACATTCAGATAATCCTTCTCCTCCAACAAAGATATAGAATATCAATTAAATATTTAAATGCATGTGTCTAATTTAATTTAGTTCAGATACATGTTTTAACGCATACCACTGCACTACAATGACACATCACTTTAAATCATATATACAGCGGAAACCTATTGTAGCGATCACGTCACATCAAATTGATCACTTTAAGCTAGTGATTATTATAACTGATTTTTTTATTTCTCATGCAGATTGCCATCTAATTCACATTTGTATTTTTATTACATGAATGTAAAGTAATTAAAGAGACTGCTTCTCTATTTACTGAATTTTACTGACTATTTCAAAATACATATACAGCACTGTGTGCGGCCCTGCGATGGAAGGGTGTACCCCGCCTTTCGCCCAAAGTCAGCTGGGATAAGTGGTTGACGATGGATGGATGGATGGATATACAGCGCTGTACAGTTTAATTCAAATACACTATGCAGTAATACAGTACAGCACTGTACATAAAATATAGCTCAATGTACACTGAAAAAAATTATAAACGTAACACTTTTGTTTTTGCCCCCATTCATCATGAGCTGAACTCAAAGATGAGGTGGATGGATTATCTCGGCAAAGGAGAAGTGCTCACTAACACAGATTTTGACAGATTTGTGAACAATATTTGAGAGAAATAGGCCTTTTGTGTACATTGATAAAGTCTTAGATCTTTGAGTTGTGGGGCAAAAACTAAAGTGTTGCATTTATAATTTTGTTCAGTGTAGTTCAAATTATTATTAGGCTATAGCCTAAAAAAGTATTGTGCTATTTACAAGTCAGTAGTGCAAATAGACAGCTTGGCGGTGGTTTCATTGCTTTTCTAAATTTTTAACAGGCCTGAATCTAAAATGTAGGCATCAACGCCAAACTAGTAGCAGAGTTTGAAAACAACCGTATTCATAAAATACTTTTTCCATATGTTGTCATGTATGAAAAGACCCAAAATCAAACCTTTAAGCGGACTACTTGATAACTATAATCTAATTATTTAAAGAACATCTGTATAGAAATGGTTCTGTCCCATGCTTTCTGCATACATACTGTAAGCAGTTTCCACTGTGCTTCCATCGAAAAACCTATTTTCTCAGTCAGCTTGTTACTATGAGTGACGGGTCCTAACATAAAATCTAGTTAATACTAATAAACTTTGATTTACTTTGAAACCAAGTTTTTAGTGGTTTTAGTACTAACCACTTTTTATAGAATGCGGCAGTCACCGTTTTTGCACACCTTTTAGAAAGCTTTGAAAAATGTTTACAGCCATATGAAAATCAACCAAGATCTGAAACTTGTCAGGCATGTCACCTTCTATTCATCAAAATTTCATTTTGTGCAATGCTATGAGGTAATTATTAGGTTGTTGTTTTTTTCAAATTAAGCAGCAAAACTACAATTACAATAAAATAACTCAATAAATAAAAGCAGACATGCTTTACAGTTATCTCTAAATCTCAAGTTGATTGTACCAAGTATAAAGACAGCCTATACTTAAGAGCTGGAACCAAAACACCCTGTGAACTAGACTAAACAACTTGGATGACGAGATATTATCAACCCTTTCTTATGGAATCTTGGGTCTGTCCTCCATCACATGTTGGCTGCTGTTGCACTTTAGATTTAGGGGCTTTATTTGATCATTTTGAGTCATAAGCTCATCCAAGACAAAAATCCATCATGACAAGGAAAGACATAAATTTCCCAGGATGTGAAAGCTGTCAACTCTATTTAGGACAATGCCATCTGCTGTCGGTGCTTGTTAAGAGGGCTTGTCAGTCAAACAGACACAAGCACACATGCACACTCACACAAAGAAATGCACACTAACCTGGGGCATAAACCCAGGACTCGGTAAGCTGTTAGTTGGACTGACGTGGTTCGGAGGAGGCACCATAAACCTGCGGCCTGGTTGGGGAGGCATACTGTGGGATGGAGACCCTCCTTGCAGGGGCCCTGGGACGGTTCGCTGTAGTCTGACACTCTGATACCATGTCCAGGGTGGAGGGGGTGGCTGGGCCTGCCAGTGGGCCTGTGGGTTTAGCTTGTCCACTTGCATCTGGAGCTGAGCCAGAGTACTATGGGGTGCTCCCAGGGCAAAGCTGTGGGGTGAGCCTGAGGGGCCCTGCCCAAGGTGGGAGAGCTGACGAGGGATACCCTGAAAACTACCCAGCTGGTGGCCTGGTAGACTCTCCACCACTAAAGAGCCTGAGGGAACATACACACAGGGACAGGATGAGCATAACAAGTAAGGATATAAAAAATACACAATACTGTCTGCAGAGAACGGTGAGAAGGAGAAGGATTGGGTGAGATATGGGGACAGTTTGGGGAACTTTGGGGGTTATTGGGGGTGGGATTTCAAGTAGGGATGCAACTAATAATAATATTATCAGTTAAGTTATTGATTGTTCTTTCAATAAATCTGTTCAAAATGTTTAATATATAGCGTTTGGAAAATAAATCACAAGTTCCCATAGCCCAGTGTGATGTCTGCAGAATGGCTTGTTTTTTGGCATTCCAAAACAAAAAGTATATTGGGATTTCTGCTTGATGAAACCTCACCAAAATATATTTTGCTTAAACAGTTAATTGGTAATCAAAATATTTACAGATTATTTTAGTGTTTGCTGACTCATTGATGACTGATTAATTTCATATGTCATCACGACTGTCAGGCTTGAATGAGTTGCAACTGCTCAGCATTTTGGACCCTTTTTAAGCTGTGGACTTTCTGGGTCCTTGTGAGCTTTCTTCCCAATTCAGCATCCTTCATCCCAATGACAAGGGAGAACCAGCAAATCTCTGAGAAATGGTGTGATTTGCATGAAGAAAAGTGTCAGCAAGATATGGAAATACTTCATATTTATTCCATCTCAGAATCAATCATCCACTACCCACTGCATGGATGAGATGACAAGCCCTTACCCCTGTATGCAAGCAACAATAAAAAGAGATTTGGGGAAAAGAGTGAGACACAAAAGAGACTTGTTTGTGATGAAGAACCTCTTCTAATGCAATGTCTAGGCACATAGCCGGCGCTATGTTCACTTCCATTCCATTTTAATGTTGTTTAAAGGGTATAACTATTTATTCACTGAGTTGTAAAACAGAACAATGACAAATAAAAAAAGAAAACTATTCTCAAGGTTCATGATTAGTTCCAATTACATAGACATGTCTTACCAAGATCAACATTTGAGGCCCAATAAGAGGATCGACACTGGAAGCGTGCAGTGCTTTGTGGTATAAACGAGGTACTACATTTTGCCTGCAGGAGGTTTCCAATCTGAAACAGAATCTGCAACAGAAGGGATGTTATTAATAATTTTAGAGGAGGACACTTGTGTGTTACAAAGGCATATGTCCCTACTTTATTACGTCCACGATAGACCAGGCTCCTAACCGGCTATAAGCCCTGCGCTGTCAAGAGTTTCATATTGGGAAAACAGGACTGTGATGAGACACTGTTGAGTGGATAAATGGTCAGCCTTACCAAACGTTTACAGTACAAGAGGGCCGTTCCCCCATTCTTGGCTGTGGCCCATTTGGTGAAGTTGATGACATGATCCAGGTGTCTGGCTAGATAGCCAATGTCCTCCTGTTGTTTTCGCAAGACACTCTCGTGATCCTTTGTTACAGCCTGGAAAACATGAATAAGTGAAGATCTGCAGTGTTCAAACAACTTCAGGGTATGCGCTCTGGGCCTCAGGGTACAGTCAACTGAGCTTGCATGGAAGTAACACTTGTCTGGAAACAGCACCAAGCTACAGGTCTACAGCATGTGGTGAAACTAACAAATAACATTGTTTTGTTACATGTGTAATTTGTTGAAAAGCTTTTGTCATACCTCAAGTTGATTAACTAGCATCTTGCCCTTCTTGTTTATCTCAAGAATCAAACTGCAGATGGATTTCTTTATTTCATTATGAACAGACATGCGGTTCTGATCAACCTGAAGAAGTCTGAAAAATATCCATCACAATAATGAATCATTCAGATTTGACAAATTATATGCAAAATCAAACAGCACATATATCAACACATTTTGGAGACATCTCAGTATTACTTGAGGTTGTATCCTTAAACAATTAACTAATTGTTCTTGTTCATGACATTCAGAGGTCATATGGAAAACAAAAATAGCTTTTTTATAAGCAGCTTTTGTTTACAACTTGCGTACTTGACATACAGTATGTAATATTGCGGTGTATGGAAATACATACCCATTGTTTATGGAGTTTGACACTTCTTCAATCAGTTTCCTTTTTTTCCTGTAGCTGATGGGTCATGCTCTGCATGTGCTCTTTGTGGTTTCTATAAGCATCTTCCAGGAACTGGTAACTAATCCAAGAAGAACATTAAGTCAGTGAATAAAATATAAAAGTTACTATTGTAATCAAATCCCTTTCTCCACTCATCAGGGTGTAAATTAATAGGGGTTCAGTGGCACTTCAGCAGAGTGTACAATAACTTTTATGGCAGAATATCAAGATAACCATATGGATTTTTTTGTGTCAAAATTTATGTCAATACAATTTTGTTTATGCAAAATCAAATGTCAGATTAAATTAAATGTATGTTAATCATATTTAGCTGCACAGCATTGTCAAGTGTAATGTCAAACAAAACTGATATGTATAACCAGGTGTATGAACCTTTATATGATATAATTATATTATATTGTAAATTTTGAATGTACTTGTGGTCCTTGTGCTTGACTAGTTGGCAGTCACGACATGTTAGCAGGTCGCAGGTCTCACAGAACAGCTTCAGTGGCTCTTGTTTGTGGATGTCACAGAACATCGGCCTCTGAGTCGACACACCATGGACCTCTGGAAAACAATGCAGGTTCATCATTTGGCCCTTTATTCTGGGGACATGACAACATTTGTTCCTTCTGTTGCCTGTGCGCTAGACACCAGATTTCAAGCTAATGTTTAAGGTTTGTGGTCTGACTGGGTGTAACGAAGAAGACTTGAATATAACCTTGTAAATAATGACTGCATAGGATATACCATAGTTTCCAGGATATATGGTTATATATTGTTAGAGAGAATTATCACTTTTTATAGACAGTTAGGAGTCAATGTCTGAAATGACTAAATCTTTCTTTATCGGGTTCATGCCAATTGGCAAGTAATTTCAGGTATAGCGTTTGAAGCTCTTGATAATAAGCCTCATCAAAATGTTTTATTTCATTTTGAATTATGCTCCCCTTAATGAGCAATTCCAAATGTCTTGCATTATTTAATTTGAAGACAGTACCACAAAACCACTTTAAAACTGAGTAAGATGGGAGATTTATATGAATAAATGTATTATGTGGGTCATTAAACATACTCTTGGGTGGCAATGTTTGCAAATACCATCCTTGGCAGATGAGCATAAAGGCATTAGTGGTAGTAGTCTAGGAACATAACATATTGTCGATGTAAAGTGCCAAAATTAGAGCTGATTTCATTTTTTCATTTTTATATTGAATAAAACTCTGATCCCGTAAAAACTCTTTCCTTTGTCACGGAAACACCACACATATTTCACAGAAGAAATAAATTGAGATAAAGACACTGGTTAGAATACCGTGTGACACTTCTGTCTTCTGTCTGATGGTGTGGTCTTTGGTGAATTTGACTCTTTGGTGGGCCTCCACACAGGTGGAACAGAGGTACTCAACACAGTCCACACAAAACCCAGCAGCTTCAGTGTTGTCATCACATGTCATACAGAGCTACAGGTAGATGAGACAAGCATCAGAAGCTGATACATCTTAGACATGCAGGTAACAAGAGGTGAAACTGTTGGAGAGCTGCTGGGTCTTCAAGCAAATTAAATTAGATCTAATATGCGAACATTATGTCAGAGTGGACAAATCAGACAAGTATCCAATCGCTAGTATGAACACCTCAATTCTCCCAGTAGAACCCCTCGGTGCATAACACCTTACTTATCATGTAGGAATTTCATCAAGGCCCATAGGATATGCATGTTGTCACTAACCTGGACTGTCCTCTCCACTGTGCTGCTGGGAGCCTCAACTGAGTCCTTCACAAAGACGTTTTCCATCACATCTACCTCCATACACTCCTGTCTGCACACCGGACAGCGGATCACATTCACTGGAAGAAACCAGAATCACATTATGTTGGTCAAAATCAGACAAGACAGGATTTGTATGTGCTTTTAATAAAAAAAGAACTAACACACACCTGATAGGCTATGTATAGTCAAAAAGGAGCCCATGTGTGTGAAACACACGCCCTTAAACACACCAGCCTTATACAGCCACATTGAATTGTTACTTTCTTGCATGCAGGGAAGGTGACACCCTTAAATGCTCTCTGGTCATTGTTTGTAAACAAAGTGACTCACGTGGTTTGGTCGCGCTGTCAACCTGGGAGTTTGGCGGCTCTCTCACGGCCAAATTCCTGGAAGGTGACGGCAAACATTTCTTGCAAAAAGAGTGTAGACACGGCAGAAGTTTAGGCTCTCGACTGTTAAAGTTTAGATGGCAAACGGGGCAAGTGTCCAGGTAATTTTGGCCGTTTGCAGCGGACCTTTCCTCTTGCACTGGCATGCTCTCAGCTTCGTTCTCAACGATGATGACAGCAGCATCCCCCGTCTCCTGTTTTTCTGTGCGTCCATCCATTTGCTGCACTTTATGCTAGATTTCTCTCTGTATATAAAATGTACCCACACGGGTGAGCGGACCAGGCTCAATAGTCATTTGTCTCCTTTCGCGAAAAGAGCATCTTCTCACACCACCACATCTTCACTCTCAGCCACTTCATCCTCTTTTAAACGCAGCGCTGTTGATAGGCTATATTAATCAATCTGTTCACATGTCACCTTCTTGTAAAACGACAATACATATATTGGAGCACAAACCTGTAGCACAAAAGATTAAACACAATGCCCCCGCGTGAGGGTGTCGCACGGTCGCGTGCTGCAGATGTTGCTCAAATTGCACCGCACGCGCTCGTTGCAGCAAGAGAGGGGTGGGGTCAAACAGCGCGCGTTCTGATAAGAGGGCAAAGCTGAGTGATTGAGGACAAACTCCACAGGTCAAACGCTGATGTTTGTCTTATGTTGGTTACTCTGAAAGTTAGGGCTTTACTTACCAGTCGAGTTTTTAAAGAAATAATATTACTCTAGTTAATTAATTAGGTACACTTCTGGCGACTTTACTGTTCACTGTTTTACATTTGGCACTTATAGTCTGACCTAAAAACTGTGTCATTGGGATGTGTAACTTTCCCATAACATATCATTAATTACTAAATTAATTATTTTATTTAAAATTAATGATTTATATCAGGCTGTATGTCTGATTTATGTGAGATTGTTCAAATCAATTGATCAATATTTTGTTTATAAAATATGAATAGCCTGGTCAAATTATTTTGGTACTGTTTTCAATTATATTTGAACTGCTATAGAAACAACAATAACGATAACAGCATGCCTAGTTAGTTGTTATTTAACAAAGCATGTTGAAAAGCTAGATTATACATTATTATCTCTCATGTGAGGAAAACACAATTTAAAAACTGTCAAACAGCACAAAGTGCCACAATTTTCAGCGGTTATATTCACTTAGTCCATCATCACTGTCATGTTATGGTTTGAGTTTCACTATGTCAGCAAATGATCACATGAAGAAGATAAGCTAACATTAGTGCATGGAACTGAAATGGGATCAAGGTTCATGGTCATTCAATAAATTACTTATTAGGTTGGCTAGAAAGCTGTTCAGTTAATCTAAAGGAGACTTGACTGAGTGAACAACAATGATTTTTTTTGCATGTGATACATTCATGATTGGCTGAGCTGATCAAGGTAAACCTGATAGGAAAACTAGGTGAGAATGCCTATAGTCAGGTGTTAAGGGAGGAAGAAAGACAGTGTAAGAGAGAGAGAGAGAAGGGGCAGAGTTGTGAATGAGTTCCGCATTGAAATTACGCTGAGCTTAATTTTTACACACATGAATCTGACTGCAGAGTACCACAGTATCCCTCTCAGTGATGGGAACCATATTCCACTACTGGGATTGGGCACCTATGGGGACCCTCGAACGGTGAGAAGTTAGGCTTGTCAATGATTGCATTACCAGGAGGACTCTCCCTAATGTACATGTACCAGGGTTTATTGCTTGCAGTGATTGGATAAACATTAACAAGTGTTTTAAAATGTAAAGAATGCATACAAAGTGCAGCGTAACTCGATCAAAACCAGGTCAAATAATATTTACATTTTCTGCGGATTCCCAATAGACACCCAGAGGCACAGCACTTGAGTGTGTCAAGCTGGCCATAGATGTGGGTTACCGGCACTTTGATGGGGCATTGGTGTATTTCAATGAGCACGAAGTGGGTCAAGCCATTAGAGAGAAGATTGCTGATGGAACCGTCAAAAGAGAGGACATATTTTACTGTGGAAAGGTAATTAGTTTTGTTATTAAGTAATGTCAAGTAGTTGAAGAATGCATTTTGTTTCTCTTAAGTCCTGTGCATTGGACCTTTGGACACTGTAAACTGTTTTCCAAAAGGAAAAACTTGTTAATGGTATCCTTGTGAACTTCACTTTAATGTTTTTGTAAGCAGTTCCATGTTATCTCCCTCAGCTCTGGAATACCTTCCAACCACCAAAGTTGGTGAGACCGGCCTTGGAGAGGACACTAAAAGCCCTAAATCTAGACTATGTGGACCTCTATATCATTGAGCTTCCTATGGCTTTCAAGGTACACATATAGATAACAGTTTACATATCAATCAGCCATCTAGTGTCCGAACATTGCCCTTACTTGTAACAGTGGAAATGATCGGTTTAGATAATGCTTGTATAGATTTCCCCTGTCAAACAGGATGATGTGAAGTAAGTAGAAATGTGCTGATTAAAAACTATTTGAAACAAAATGAAAAGTATTAAAAAGGATGGCATAACAAACCTAACATCTTCATGATCACACAATCTAACACACAGTATGTTTTTGTGACTAAATATGCTCTAGACAATTTTATTAAATAGCTATATTTAGGCATGGTAGATGTATAAAATGTGGCTAATGCTTGGTTTTAGGTTCCAGGAAAAAATCCAGGGGTATTGTTAAGATTGGGCGGCACAGGAAGCGTGTATTTAAGTAACAAATTTTAATGACAATTATTAAATTATTCTTACATTTTAGCCTGGAAATGAGTTCTATCCAAAAGACCAAGATGGGAAATACATCTACCACCACACAGACCTCTGTGCAACATGGGAGGTGAGTTCCATTGTGTTCACAATGGATGGCCCAGCTATTTGATAACTTTACAAGACTTCTCATCCTTGTTGTCTATAATGTCTGAATATGGCATTTTCATGAGATATTGTTCTCTCATGAGTATTGGATTGCATTAGAATTAACTAGAAGTGTCTTATAAGCGAGTGTTATTTCATTGAATTCAGGTATGCTACATGAGATTGGTTGACCCTTCTCCAGCTTTAAGGATCTGCTTTTCTTCTATGAATTCTAGTGGTCCTAGGAATGTACTGTGTGTCATAAATGTCTTTCAAGAACAGCGTCATAAACACTATCTCAGAATGTCTCTAGAGATAATGGTAAGATTGGTCTTTGAGAGAATGTAAATCTTTTCTTCTCATCAGGCTTTAGAGGCTTGCAAAGACGCAGGGCTGGTTAAGTCTCTGGGAGTCTCCAATTTCAACCGCAGACAGCTGGAGTTGCTGTTGAATAAACCCGGACTCAAACACAAACCCGTATCCAACCAGGTGAACCTAACTTGTCTCTTTAGAGCCCCACAGACATCAGAAATAGTAGTGTATGTATCACAACATATAGTAGTATTACATAGGCTATTAAGAAGATATTGCTTAGCTTTTCATACTTTGGAGCTGTTGCAAATCTGTTTTCCTTTTAAGACTACCTCAAAAGGCATCTTTCTTTCCATTGCCATACAATTTCTTTCTGGCAAGTAGAACACAGGCTGCAAATGTAATGTCAGACCACTTTGGGCCAATTGTGTATTTTCTTCTTCCTTACCTGTAGGTTGAATGCCATCCATATTTTACACAACCCAAACTTCTGGAGTACTGTCGTCAGAATGACATTGTGATTGTTGGTTACTGCCCTCTTGGCTCCTCCAGGGATGCATCTTGGTATGTACGTTTTAAGAGATTTGCACTGTTACTGCAGGTGATGTTTTTAAACAGAAGTTGCTTACAGCTGGTATTTTGTAATGTTCTATTCCACCTGGTATTGTATTTATGGAAGGGTTAATCATTAGGCTTTATGATGAGGAATTTTGTCATAGAAATAACCTAACCCATATCATTATAATTTGTGCAACATGTCATCCTATATGTGACACTTCAACATTTTTATCAAATCCTCAACACTTTGGGATGCTACACATAAAAACTTTGATAAAAGTCTCTATCATGGTATCATTTGTATTTTCGTCTCCGGTTTAGGGTGAATGTGAAAAGTCCTCCCCTGCTTGAGGACAAGCTGCTTGTATCCATAGGGAAGAAATACAACAAGAGTAGTGCCCAGGTGGCTCTGCGCTTCAATGTCCAGAGAGGAGTTGTAGTGATCCCCAAGAGCTTCAGCGCTGAGAGGATCAAACACAACTTCCAGGTGGGTTTACCAAAATGCTTTTTTTATCATGTATGGCATGTATTTAGTGTACACAGTGAATGGGATTTTCAATAAGTTATCGTGCCAAAATTCCAATCTTATCCAGTATTGGTTTCAATCATTTCAATAAAAACAATTAATATTTTGTTGCAGATATTTGATTTTTCACTCACTGAGGAAGAAATGAAAGCCATTGAAGCACTGAACAAAAATATTCGTTTTGTGGAGCTGCTGATGTAAGTATAATCATTTATAGGAAAATATGTAATCAACAGTGAGATGAACCTAATACAGTACCTAATCTTTGTAAAAATGTGTAGCTTGTAGTTTTTATTATAATGCATTTTGTCTTTTTTTATTGTGTAATGCTGTTGAAGATGTTTTATTTATCCTTGATGTCTGCATATTTTATCTGCCTAGCTTGATTAGGATAATGTTTAACATGCTTATTAGAATAACATTTGAGGTGTTTATTGGTCAGATACACTGAACTTTGGTAGGGTGCAGTTTTCTCCCTCACCCTGTTGCTCTCAGGCTGCAGCCTTCACATTTTTGTAAGAACACACAGACTTAACAAGAACACACACACTACACATTTTGGAAAAACATACACACACGGCCAGTTGAACAGTGTTGCTAGCAGGCCGTATCAGAGGCTCAGGCGAAGGCCATCATTTAGAATTAATTGCCTATCCGAATAGGGTCTTTAAGGATTTTAACAAATTGTTGCAAGCACCTGCACTAAGGCTTGATAAAATACAACACTAGACACATGAATAAAATGGGCCTTTGCAAGAAAACTGCAACTCTGAAGGCTCTGAAGCTCATCATGTGATACAGTACACAGCACACAAACCTCTCTTGTCTTATGCACATACACTAATTGTAAGAAGATGTCTTATTTCCGAAGTCACATTTCAGTCTTATTTAGTTCATTACAAAGCTTCATTACATTTAGCTGACGCTTTTGTCCAAAGCGACTTTTGCTACATATGTCAGAGGTGGCAAGATGTGTGGAGATGGAAGTGGAGGTTGGTCTGAGCCATAAGAGGAGGAGCGAAACGTAATATATCAATCAATGTAATGAGGAGTTTAAGGAGTCTGCTCCCGAGGCCAGCTCGGATCCACATGTATTTGATGTATTATCACTAAACTTGAGTTAATTTGAACTTTACTGGAATTTGTATCTCATTTAAAAGAATATTATTTACATTGAAAGGATAACATTTCATCTAAGTCTAAGTTAGAGTTACATCCAAGAGTATAAAGTGCGAGAGTGGGGGCCCGTTTGTGCTCTGGCCCAGTCTGGGGTTTTTTCCTCCCACAATGCAAGAACAGTTTTCTAAATGACGACTCCTCGTCATTTTTTTTTTGTTTCAAAACAGGTGGAGTGACCATCCAGAGTACCCATTCCATGATGAATATTAAATCTACTGACTTTGGACACAAATAATTAAAACAAAACATGGACTATTTTCAGCTTTTCACAAAAAAATGTGCATTGGTACATTTCCCACTAAACACTAGAGGTCTCTGGCTCACAGTAAATGAAAAGGGCAAACAAATGAACACTTTTAAGGTTAACATACAGCTCAGATGTATGATGACAAAGTCGTTTGTTTGTTGTTTCATGTGAGACTCACATGAGGCTCATGCAATATTCAAAGTTACTACCGATTTGAAATAAATTGTAAAAATATTTCAGTTTAAAGTCTACGGTAACTTAGAAGACCCTTTATGGCTGTGCTGCTTGTAGTGTTGATAGTGTTAAAAGGACAAACAGACATCCTTTGTGTTTTACAATGAGTGTGTCACTCCTGGTCTTCAATAAGTCAAGTCACTTTATGTATAAAGTACATTTAAAAACAACAAAAGTCCTGTACCATGTCCAAAGCAAGGCAAAAAACCCAGCTGTGATGGAGCAAACGACAAGCTAACAAATAGCTGTGTTCAAAAGCCAGACGTGTAAAAATGGCCATTTAGGGGGAAATGAAGGTTTCTGTTGGGGGTTACCTCAAAAGAGAAGAAATGCTTTTGTTGCAACATATTAAAATGAATGTGCATTTGCTTTTTGGATGTAATGTTAAGCATATTTGACAGTTGTAACAAAGAAGGAGTATAAAATGAAGAAAGCTATTAACTACAATGGATTATGCTGGGTGCCAGTACTGGATGTATTTAGCCTTTGATTTAATCTGAGGTGTTATCAAATGAATTAAAATAATTCATCATTAAGGCAGTCACAGTTAAGCACAAAGTCAAACATATTTGTGAATCCATGATAAATACATTGGCCCTGAGGAAAGAAATGTACTGAACAGCCAAGGTGATCTGCTAGGTATAATATTTTTTTTTTTTGCTTCAGTTAATGAATAATTCTTACATTTTGCTGTGGCATTCTTATTATCTGTTGTTGCATTATTTTAGCATGTACTGTGGCAAAATCCATTTATAACACCATGTCAAGAATAAAGAAAACTGTTCAAATGTGAAGTGGCCTAATGGCCTAGTGGTTTAAAACCTATGTTGTCCTGCTGTCCAAGCACTGCAGCCCCTCAGGGATTTGGGTTTAAGTATCTTGCTGAAAGACATCTTTGAAGCAATGTAGCAGAGGGGTGGGTGTTATTTATTCTTTTGAAGAATGTATACTCTTCTCATAAATGTACATCCCATATTATAAAACAAATGAATCAATTTGGAAATAATTATTCACCATTCAGATGCCTTCATTATAATAGTTTAGACCTGTTCTTTAGCATTAACTGGACTCCAGCAGTACCTTGAAAAATGTTTTTGTATTGGAGTTGTACACCATCACCAAGCAGGCATAAATGGCTGACACTGGGAACTGATTTCAACCTTCTTCAAGTGTTCGTCAGCCTTGTTTTAGTGTATTATTATGTATATGTATTATTGAAACTGTGACATGACAGCCAAATCTGTGCTGGTATTCACCTTTAAATCAACGATGAGACAAAAGTTGAAAACTGTCAGACTTTGATATGAGTTCCCTGGTTAGCTTTGAGATCTCTCTGTCCTGTGTGGTCAAAGAGGGTATTTGAGTTTGATCAGATCAAATCTGTTATCACAGTGTTGACACACTTTGCAATCTTTGTGTACACACCTTTTACCTACTTTAACCATCGTGGTCAAAGACAGAAGTTTTCCGCCACAAATGGAAGGAGCAGCAGGAACAGCATTTTACAGTATTTTGTTATTAGTATCATAATGTCTGTTAAGATCAGTTTAAAGCATCTTTATTTATCCTATGAGCATTCACGCAAGATAAAAATATACTTTGTTAAGATACCCCTTGCTTGACAATGCCCCTCTTGGAAAAGGTTTGAGTAAATATTTGTCTGTGTCACGGTTGATCATTTGATTTCGCAGAAACCTAAAATTTGGGGGAAAGAATCAAAGTTTACTAAAGTGGTCATTCATCCATCCGTGCATTCAAATGTTGTATAATGTGAAGTTGGATTTTCCAAATATGTAGTCCGTTAAAATAAGCTGTTTTCTTCTACTGACTTCAGTCTTTTGGATCAGACTGTTCTGATATTAATCATTAAAAAGCCCTGTGAGTGAGCCCCAACAATGGCTGAACTACTGTGGACTAAATTTTAACTTCTCATGTCAGGAGACCTTAAACCAAATGCTTTCACGCATTTAATTTAACCAGCATATTTGAGTTTGATGTAAAGAGACATGACGGATCCTTCAGACTGAGCAGACTACAGTCTGAGCACTGACCTATGGTCGTACAGTCAGAGAACAGCAGGATGCTGCAGACAGAGGGAAGAAATACAGTTCATTAACAAGCCCCCTTCTGTTTTTTCTGCTTTTGTCTTATTTTCTGCCCCATGGACATTCACAAGCATAATGGTTCTTAATGAGCTCCAAGCACAACATCTGGAAGAAAGGAATAGTTGCACAATTAGATTATTGTTATAAATGACAGGACCTTACTTTTTTTAACATGCATTGTACCTATTATCCAAAAGAGTTTTTTTTATTTTTATACTCCAATCTGCATATATTTTATAGTGCCTTTTGATCATAAAGGCATCCCATACTTATCTTAAAGCAATAGCCTGACATTTTGTTAATGAGAGTTATACACTTTCTGTACTTCACTCTCATATGATTAGGCTACAGCCAGCAGCCGATTTGCTTAGCTTAGCATTGCACAGAGATTGTTAACAGAGGTAAATAGCTAGCCTGTCTGTAAAAAGGTAACACATTCTGCCTTCGAAAACCTCTAAAGTGTACTAACATGTTATATCTCATTTGTTTAAAACTGTGCAGATAGCCTACCTGTGTGTAAAAACAATATGTTGTGGTTTTGATAATTCAGCACATAATCCCCTATAAAACCACAAGTTGCTTTTTGTTTACATTTCAGTTTTTGTACTGATTAAATAAGCAAGATAGAAAAGGCTAATTAGTGAGATTAAGAGGTGCTGGTAGGCAGATTTTGTTACTATGTTTCCTGCTGTTTTCCTGTCTAAGCTGAGCTAAGTTACTGGCTGTGGCTTTATATTTAGCCTACAGATATGGGAGTGGTATTAATCTTCCGATCTAACTGCAAGAAAGCAAATAAGTGTGTTTCCCAAAAGGTTTTCCTTCAAGATATCGACATACAGAAATTTAAAGTGAAATGTAAAACATGATTTCATAAATGTGATAAATGAAACTTGTGACATCATGAATTTATCCACCAAGCTGAAAACTTCAGGGACGAGGATGCCTCCATCTCTTTACCATGATATTATACTATAATGGTATCATGATTCTTTTTGATTAGCAACAATGAGGACATGCAATTAAATGGATTTAGATCTTTCGGTGACCGGATGCTGTCACAGTTTGCTCCTCATGTCCATCTCTTCAGCCACACTCGCTCATCCCCAGCCCTCTGCATTTCACTCTGCCCCTGCTCACTTCTCCCAGGCCATCATGTACTTTCCTCCAACTTCCAGAACTGCTATCCTCAAGCTGTCCACCAGATGCCCTCGGACTTTCCCTCCTTCCCCCTCACCTGACTTCACCCCACCCATCTACACACCTGTTCCCAGTTCTCTCATTAGCCCTGCGGTTACCTGGGGCAAAACTTTTTTTTTCAGTGGAAACGGTGGTGCCTCGAACACCCTGTTGTGTACACAAGCGCACTGCATTTTCCGTTGTGTTTACAAACTTGTCGCAGCTAATTGGGTAACACCTATGACATTCCCACCAAACGGGAGAAAACATAAACCGAAGCCCTTTGCTGAACGTTGCACAACGTTGCAAGGAAACCTGTCGTTCAATCAGAAAACGTTGCAAATCATTGCAAAACGTTCTGAGATTGAACTCGCCCCAGGCCTTCTTCATCCACTCCTCACCTGCAACTGATTCCCTCATCAATCATGCTTATGTTGTCATGTGCTTGATGATTTGGTTACCTGTTTCTGCCTGCCTTATCTGCGTGTTTGACCTTTTGCCAGTTTATTGGACTTATGATCCCTGCCTGCTCCTTGTCAGATCTTTTTGCCTGTTTTTTTGGACTTTTGATTCTTGCCTGTTCCTTGTCAGATCTTTTTGCCTGTTTTTTTGGACTTTTGATTCTTGCCTGTTCCTAGTCAGATCTGTTTGCCTGTTTGGACTGCCTTCTGTGGTTATGACCCTTGCCTGTCTCGCCATCCTGTTCACCTGAGTTCCTCAGTTTGTGTTAATAAATTACTGAACTTGCCTCATGTCCACCATAGGTGTCTGCATTTGTGTCCTGCTCATAGACTGTATAAAAGAAGTGGAGATAGTCAACGTGACGTCACGTTGGTTTGTGGAGTGCCGTTTTGAAGCCGCGAGTTTGGACGATAGGGCAAGTTGATTTTTTGCAACCAGGAAGTGCCTGGAAGTGACCATATTTGGACAAGATGGTGGAGCTAACGGCCGTGTGTGGAGCTAGCTAGCTTGCTTAGCCAGGTGCATCTGTAATTCACATTAACTGGTATTTTAACAGGGATGACAGCTTTGTCTAGCAAACAACAGTCTTAAAACTAAATATACTCACCAGAGAAAGTGAACAGCCAGCTCCTAATACGCTTTTTCAGCAGCGTTGGTTACATTTACACAGTGCCGTAGGTACGAGTCACTCTAGCCTGATTGACAGGTCGCCATGGTAACAACTTGTCAATCATAGATAATCCTGCTCTGAAGCATACTCTCCTTTATAGTCTATTTTTCTTTAAATGGGACCATAATTTACTAAATGAACATCAATTTGTATTGAAGAAGACCGGAAACTAGCGATTGAGACCATAAACCCATTAGGAAGTGCTGAGAAGCAGGGTAATTTTACCATTATTTCTAATGGAACGGACTTCTTTTTGCACCAGAAGAGTCGCTCCCTGCTGTCCGTTCAATAGAATGCAGGTTTAAGGGACTTCCGCACTGGCTTCGCATTTCAGACCGGAAGCTTCCTGCATTGTCCTACCTTTGTATTTCTGTCCCCATGCTTGCACCAGCCATACCAGTTGCAGTGATTTTTGACAAAAAATTCTATAAATTACAGTAGGTTTACTAAAATAAAAGTTTTCAAGGCTTTGTTAATTCATGTTTTTATAGTTATTTTTTTAAGGGATTCAAAAAAGGTTAAACAAGTTGGTTCATAGATTAAAAGTCGACACTGTCGAAAAACTAAAGTCAGGCAAACAGCTTCATTTTTATAGAGAGCTGATCTGTGCGTGTCTTGAATTATAATATGATTTTAGGTGGGGGTTGGGGACCTAACGCTGAAAGATTTGAGACAGGAAAAGGAGAAGCAGAGCACTCCCTCCCCCCCATCCCCACCTCCATAAAGACCCTCTGGATTGTGACCTCTGGACCCCTGCGGTGGGAAAATGTTCTGAATGGGCTACTGGGTCGTTGTGAATGGTCTACTCGGTCTGTTAGGATGGAATCTAGTTGAGGGAATAAAGACTTTTTAAGGGGGGCTGGATTAAGAATGTGTTTGGAGCAGGGGCTTCATGTAGCAGGAGTGATGTTTTAATTACGCTCAATCAGAAAAGGCCACTGAAATATTGTGAGGCTCTTATTGTAACTGTTGTGCACAAAGTACTTAAGATTTACAGGGTTTGTGGATAAATCTTTTTCAAACCAATCTCAGCAATATTTGAGATCATTGCACATATGCACACACACACATGTCTGACCAGCCTCTCCCCCTAATTTCTGGTTGCTCTCTGGACAGAGAGGCACTGGCAGAATGCGTGTGTCAAAAGGTTACGCAATCAGCCCACCACGCTGAGACAGCACAGACCTCTAGTGTGCTGTGGGGAGTCACTGTGTGTGTGTGGGGGTGTCTGAATGGTATTGGATAAAGGGGGGGGGGGGGGTCTTCAGAGAGGGGCAACTCAGAGGGAAAATCTCACTGCAGGCTGCACTGAAGTTTTCTGTTTCTCAGATCTCCGCCCCTCCATGAATGTTATATAGTGTATACGGTGAAACCTGAAACTGCAGCAGGCCTATATTTGGTGCCCCACTCTCTTCTTGAAACTGTCATTGGACAGCATTATGAAAGGTAAGAGCCTTTTGATTATTGCTTGTATGATTACATTTTTTTCCAGTCAGAGAAGGATAAGTGAAATTATTGCTGTGTAGAGATATAATTAACAATTCATAAACATCTTATTATTTATTTATTTATTGACAGCTGTGCTCAGTGAAAGTTATTGTTTTAAAGGATCTCTGGCATATTTCATTTTCTTGATAAATCGCTGCAATATAAGTAAACTATGGGTTTGTCCATCTTATGAAAGGTCTGCAGTATTAAAACATGCTCAGGTGCAAAGACTGGACATCCAAGAGTCAAAACTTTAATAATTTTTGTTATCATATCCAGCACATTTTCCATGCTGATAATCATGCTGTACCATGCTGTAATCAGAAAGGAGATCAAATTGGACTCAATTGCAAATCTACTTGTATGGAATGTAATTCATCAGTGCATAAATAACTTAATAAGCACGTGTTACTCATTTTGCAACATTTTTTTCACATCTAGTGATGTCACATAAAACATGGGTATTATTTTGCTATCAAAGGTCTACTTGTAAATCAAATACTCAAAATTGTCTTACAAAATTGATGGGAAATCATAGCAGATTATTGAACTTCATCAAAGGTTAAACAATTATATTAAGTCATAACTTCCATCTAGATGTACAATACAGTAAGTATTCAACATCACATGCTGCAACTGTAAATCTTTATGGTGTACATGTAGATGTGTGACACTGATGTCCCTGTCTTATGTAACGAATCCAGTTATGTATTAGCCTGCGATTATCCAACTGTGGGAGCTTCAGGGTAGAGGACACATGTTTAGAAGAAGAGCTTGATTACTGCCTTTGTCCATGAGACGCCAGAAAACACTCATGATTATTCCCTGTTCTCAGGTTTTGTTCCTACGTACAGTATATTGATATTATGAATAAGACTATGTACCATACTAATGTCTGAATGATCTACAGTATCAGTGTAGCCTTTGGTGGTTTTTGGGATTAGCTGGTTATCATAGAGGAGCAGACATTATGCTCAGAATTTGGTGGCAAACAGAAGGATGAGCTAAAGAACGAGTCAATATTGGACTTACATTTGACTGCAAGTAAGAAAAAATGAATGTTAATGTTCCTCTGTAGCTGGTGGATATGTAAATAATCAACTTGTAATAATATGTCAACAGTGTTTACAGCTTGTTCCCTCTGTCCACAATGCAGATGGTAAAGTATTCAACCATCTTATTTGATGGTTTGGATAGCTTGACCTGTACTAGAGACACCTTTCAGAAAAATGCCCCTAATGTCCTATATTTACGAAGAGTTTTTCCAAAAGGCATGCATGTAGCTCAGCATCTTGATTTTGATGTTATGTTGATGCCTAAAGAATAAAGCCCTGTGTGGCTCCAGAGGGAGTTGTGTTAAGTCTGATAAATTGCCTCAAGCTACATAACTTGAGGCAGCAATGCAAAAACTCTGCTCTTTTAAGGCCAATGACTGTATTGGGAGAAAACAGAGCCAATGATATCCAGTAAGTCAGCCAGACATTCATTCAATCAGTCAATCATTTAATAGGTCAGTCTGTCAGTCACTTCCTCAGTCAGTCCGCAGCTTTTCAGAGAGAGGTGAAGTTGGCACTGCTTCCTGGGATAAAGCTCCACTGTGCCTAGATGAGCTCATTCTCAGTCTTAGCATATTTTCTCACAGTGTGCCTCTCCGATGTTCTATAATCATGTATGTATGAAAACTATTTCAGCCTGACTATGTTACTAGAAATAATGATCATATTTAGTCTCACCATGTAAAAGGACTGTTTGAAGTGATTTATTTGGCTTGTGAATTGAGCTTCCCAGCATCCACATAGAAACTGTGAAAAAGTGAGGTAAACTGTGATCTGGCTGCAAAATCAGTGAGGATTCTCATTTGCCAGCACAGAACAGAGGGGCTGCTCCGCTTTTGTTGCACCAAGCCTTCATTCCCACCAAGTACCTTCTGAAAACAAGGGGCTCTATTTTTACCTCAGGCCACAATTTGGCTCCAGTGCTGAAGATGTTGGCTCCTAAAGGGTGTCCAACGCCCAGCCCCATCCAAACAGCACACACAGAGTCACTCTTGTGCTCCACCTCTGCCCTTTGCCAGTAAGAGCACATTCCTAAAAGTGGCTTCACACAAGGCTTCTGGCAAAATGGGATTTCCATCCCCCGTGTTGTTTTCCGAATGAAAAAAAAAAACAATAAACAAGCAGTTTCATTGGTCCTGGGAGTCCAGGTTACACAACATGTAACATGTTTGTTTGTGTGCATGAAGGAAGGGAAGGAGGTTCGGTGTCCACATGTATTCTTGGGACTGAATTAGCTCGAGCATGTCTCCTGCAGACTGATGACCAATTTGTTTGAATTTGGACTGCAGCAGTGACCATGATGTGCTTCAGAGAGAGGAACGGGGGTAACAGAAGGGCTGGTGAGAGGCCTTTTAATGCAACTTGACAGGACTGAGCACAGTCAGTGAGCTGTGTGTTTCCTCCACAGAGAGAAATTCTTTCAGCAGCACTGGCCCCTAAACAGAGTCTGGCTGAGGGCTTGACTAACTTCTAATGTGGTCATCGGTCACGTAACATCAAGTCATTATTGACCTCATCAAACACAGGAAAAGTAATAACATACCAACTCATCAACAGGCATATTTGTCACATCACATACACAATGGGAATTCTCCTTGTGAACTAGACCAGGTCCTGATATTCCTTCTTCTCTCTCCAAGCATTAAGTACGTTGAGTACCCCTTTACACGGCAGGGAACTATTTTTACATTTTATTTTATTTTTTAGATTTTACTACAAGTATACTTAATGTGCTTTACATTAAAACTGCATAAAGTAACATGTATATTAAAATATTATGAATGATATACAACCAAATGCAACAGTAACAGAAAAAGACACACATACACAGTAACTATAAGCATCTATTAAGGAAAATAGACCTGATCAGTCCAACTGGAGCCAAACAGTCAGTGCTTTAAGGATTACTTGGTGAAATTTCTTGGTTCTGTTTTGTACTGGGAGCCAATGATGTGATTTAAGTACTGGAGTAAAATGTTTGGCTATGAGTGTACGCATAAAGACTAGCTGCTATGTTTTGAATTAGCTGGCGCTGAAAAAGGCAGGACAATAATTCATAATTTATTCAGTCAGTCAGTTGAATCATATTGTGATGATTTGGTCATAGCATTTCCCTTCTATAAAATGTACGATTTGGAGCAATTCTTATTTTAACTAAATTAACAAAATTAGTTATTGAAGCTGTTGTTTACACATAAAGAACTTGTTGTAAAATTTCATTTCCATTTGCCATATTGTGATTTACATCTCGATACTGAAAAATATCAATGTGACAATATTGATTTTAGACAAACCCAGCTCTAGTGGTGAATAAGTAAAATTTATAAATTAAAACTGAGCTGTAGAACATTGGATTGTCTTTTGTATTCTTTGTCCAATGAACTGGCATTGAAAAACAAAGCAATCAGATATGCTTCTCAGGATGCCTGAAATGATGAACTTCCAGCTGCATTCAGCCTTGCTATGACATTTGGACCATTGTCATCCTGCAGGCTACACATATGTGTTTCTCCTCTGTAATTTTTGTTTTTTCTTTTTCACTCTTTCTGATGTGATAGGACGCACAGATGACATGGAGAACATGTCCAAGGTGGAACCCTCCAATGGGCACAGCAGGCCCCTGGACATCGTGCCAAGTACAGAAGAGAAGATGGTAGACAGGGGTCAGTGGGGCAACAAGCTTGAGTTTGTTCTGTCAGTGGCCGGAGAAATTATTGGTCTGGGAATGTCTGGCGTTTCCCCTACCTATGTTATAAGAATGGAGGAGGTGAGTGCTGGAATTACTTATCTCTTGTTTGTTATCCCGCAAAAGCTTGAGTTTCTGCATTTAGTTAGTAAGGGGTGTGGGGCAGGATTGCAACCAAAACTTGGTTCAAACATGTTTTGATCTGTAGGGACATGTAATCAGTAGGTGTAGTACCCTTTTTCTTTCCCTTTGCTAGCAGTCCTGGCTGCACCATAATACTGCACACATTTTGTTGTTGAAAGAAATGTTAAATTGTTCCACCATAAATATACGGGTTCTGGTGGTTACTGAAAATTCCTTCTTTGCATTTGCTTGCAACCAATTGTGTAACAGCTAAAATAATCTTCTGAGAGGAAACGATTTTGAATTAGCTTAGAGGGGATAATACAAGGGTTAATATGTGATCTATTCCAATGAAGTTCAAGGTTTAACTGAAAATAGGAAAGGAGTCAAACAAATGTTTGTAGCCAGTTTGCTAATGACTGAAAGACCTACATGTGAGCTTCCTGTCAAAGGCTAAAACTGACAAACAATATGTCCTATAGTAAGTAAAATTCTTCAACTAACATAATTTTTCGAATTACTTTGTCATGATCTTTGCTTGTATACCAGTAGACTGCTTTAAATGTAGAAATGGTTATTTTTAAATCTATTTTTGAATGAAAGAAAGAAAGACAGATAGATACTACTACTACTACTTCTACTCTACATTTCTTAAGGCCATATTGAAGGTATCTGAGAACTGTTCCTTATAATCTGTGTGCTTGTACAGGTGCCTTCTTTATCCCATACCTCATCTTCCTGTTTGCTTGTGGGATCCCGGTCTTCTTCCTGGAGACGGCACTGGGTCAATACACCAGTGAGGGAGGCATCACCTGCTGGAGAAAAATCTGCCCATTGTTTGAAGGTAATCTATCAATTTCCTAAAAGAAAATCGAGTTAATGGATGTTTAATTATGTTAAAAACACTTTACACACCAAGAGCCCAGGAGTTCTAGAGCCATGCACTGACAAGATCTGTTTATTTTACACTTGTATGACATAATTAAGATGTTTCCTGTACTTTTTAAAAATGTAAGTGTGGGGGATTATCCATCTTCATGGTGTTTTGCATGTAAACGTAATGATATAATGATGACGGTATGTGTGCTACTCTGAAACAATGGGTTGCTTGTGTACCACAGAGGACATACCAAGATTTATGAGAACAAACCAGTGACAACATTTAAACATGTATGTGTGGGATGAAAGAGGAATTTCAGACATGCGTGTATCCTTTTCAGTGTACACTATGCATATTTGTTCATACAGGATATGTGTGACTTTGTGTGTCTGTGGTTGTGTGTCAAACCAGTACGTATGCAGGTGGGATGGTGGTAAATGTAGTTGTGATGGCTGCAAAGCAACCAGCACTGTTTCATTTCCTGCCAAATCTGTGCCTATTATATTGTATCTTGCATTTAAATTACTTTACAGTCATTTGAAAGTGCAGCAACAGTAAGCTGAGGGTGGGTTTAATCAAAAACTGCAATGGCCTTTTTTCCGAAGTTAAATTATGCCTCTTTGTCTTGTTTCTTTTTTCTGAATGAAACTGTCTGGTCATGGATTCAAAATAATTTCTGTGAGTCATTTGAGATAAACTACAGTTATTTCTTACATGTGAAGCTGCAAATTAAATCAAATTTGTAGTGTTCTTCTGCTGTCGAGTACAGCACAAAAGTACACTCACTGCAACCCTAGGTGTGCTTGTTTTATGCCATCCAAGCTGTCTTTGAGGCATAGTGTGAACAGAAAGTTCCAATAAGTCCGCCTCGCCCACCTTAAACGGTAGAGACTGTTATGATTGATACATTCTGCACATGCCCATCCTTATTTCTACCTGATTTGTTCTAATTTCAGTAAATTAAGATGACCCCACTGCACATACTGCGGTGTTTAAAGCCATAATGCAGAGTTTCTCTTTGGTCCCAACTCACACGCCAAACCCAATTTTTTAAATATATAATACAGTTTTTTTTTATTTCCAGGAGTGGGTTATGCCACCCAGGTGATTGTTGCTCTGCTTAACGTCTACTACATCATTGTGTTAGCCTGGGCCATCTTCTACCTTTCCAACTCTTTCACTTGGGATCTGCCCTGGGCCTCTTGCAACAACACCTGGAACACAGGTGAGACACATGACACTATGCCAAAAGCAAAAGATGTGCTTCTGATAGACAAATCCAAAGTCTCCATTTTGACATGATTATGGAGGTCTGAATAAACGTTTTAGTCAACTGAGGATGACAGAATCCGTCTGTCGGTCCAACACATTTGGCCATACTAAAATATCTCAACATTCATGGTCCACAGATGAATCCTAATGACTTTGGTGATTCCTTTCCTTTTCCTATAAAGCCAACGTGAGGTTGACATTTTGGACTTTTAGTGAAATGTCTCAATAACTCCTGTTAGGATTAATTACAAATTTTGGTGATTGTCATTGTCGCTATCGTAAGTTAAATTTTTAACTTGTCCAGTATTTTGGTTTAAGTTTATATTTTCACCAAATACCTTAAAAACAAAGACATTCCCATCAGCTCTAGCTGTACTTTGCTAATTAGTGTATATCAGCATGCTAACACCCTAAGCTAAAATGGTGAATATGGTAAACATAACTGCTAAACATCAGCATGTTAGCATTGAACTGCTAGCATGGCTATAGACCTGTAGTAGCCTAGGGTTTATATAAACTTTAATGTTTCAAATATTGCAGTTATTTTCTGGTGTTCCCCTGCCTCATTTATTAATTTATAGTTTAATTGTATCTTAAGGTTGTGAATGTCCCTGCGCTATTTCACTTCTCTATCTCAGTGGTGGCATTATTTCGCTGCCTGTGTGTAACTTGGAAACCTCAGAGAAAGCTTGGATTTCTTCACAGGACTGAATGTCTTTTTGTCTTTCCTTCATTCAAGATTCCTGTATGGCATTTCAGAGGGGGAATAGCTCCATCAATCACCATGAGAACACCACCTCTCCCGTCATTGAGTTCTGGGAGTAAGTGCCTTTTTGTATGGCCATGTCCTCAAATGGCCTTAGGTGCCAAGATAATCACCAAGTATTCAATAAGTAATTTAATCTTCTATTCTTAAATAAATACTGGATTTTTTTTGGCTTTTTAAAAATGTTTGATTGTTAGACTAGATACATCTGGTTTTGAAGTGTTGTAGCTTTGCTACAAGGGTTTTTGAATTGCTTATAGACCTATAGTTTCTTAGCTTCTGGAATATACTGGAATAGTGTGAGCATACGCTAAAAGTGGTATATAATCAATTCTAAGATTAGCTAAACTATTTCTAGTGTTTGTTCTATTTGTGTGTGTGTCCCAGGCGAAGAGTGCTGAGAATTTCCCCAGGTATTGATCACATTGGCTCTCTGAATACTGATCTGGTTATCTGTCTGGCCATTGCATGGGTCATCTGCTACTTCTGCATTTGGAAGGGAGTAAAGTCTACTGGCAAGGTGAAACCTCTCCTTCATTCATCACAGACAGATATTATTATACAATAGAAATATGATAGTCAGATCATATCTTCAATGGCATTCTGCAGCACTTATAAAAGTGCTTTTTACACTTTGCTCTGGTTTTAATATATGCTTGCTGCATGGCCAGGTCTGCCCTCCTTATGCATGAAATAGAGGCAAAAATAATAAATAATACACAAACTGGGTAGCTAGCATAATCAGTGTTAGCCACGATGACTAAATGCTCAAAGATTGGCACCTACTGACCTACCTACCACCTAACTCAAACTTCATCAACTGAAAATCCACACACCAAACACAATATATTAATAATTTTTCCAAACCTTGTATAACATTGTCACTGATTTAACACAATATAACAGTCAAATTTAAGTATAAACACATAAAGGTAGAATTTCAGAAAGGGAGGCATTGCCATAGGTCTTGTAGACATATTTCTGATTAGAAACTGCTACCGTTTCCCTTTAGGTGGTTTACTTCACAGCCACTTTCCCTTATGCCATGCTACTGATCCTGCTGATCAGAGGAGTCACCCTTCCAGGAGCCTCCAGGGGAATCCACTTCTACCTCTACCCCGACCTGGGACGGCTGTCTGACCCACAGGTAGGATGGAAATGCACTTCCAGACCTATAGCCTTCTTATCTTGAACATTCATAGAAACACAAACTCTTACACTAGCAGATACAATGCAAAACATTTTAATGCTTTCCAAAATGTTTTGATGCCTTAAGATTAAAACTTGAACAGTAATTTACTGCCTCAGGATACAGATTAATTAGACATCCATGCTGGTCATACTCATAAAATTTTTTCAGCACATCTTTAAGAACTTTAAGAACTAAGTTATTCAAAGTTTCGGGTCATGCAAAACCAGCTCATTCTCCCAGGCTCACTAAAAGTAATGCCATCTGCATTTAGGGCGCAAACGATTCATTGATTAAATCGATTACTAAATGCAAATTCTTTGCATAAAGTGTTTGTTTAATCCATACTATTATTAACTATTATTACTGTCGCACATCGCGCTTATGCCAGGGACAAAGAAGAAAGTGTCCAAGGTATGGGATTATTTCAAGCTAAAGAAAACAACAAGTCTGTAATGTTATCGTCCGTCCACCGTAAAATTAAACTTATGTCGCCTCGGCCACAGCACGACGGCACCTGATCGGAAAGCACCCGGTGTTCTGCCAGCGGACCACAGACAAGGTAACAGTAACTGCAACTTTAGCATTTAACTGAAATCATGATTGACTGTTGAGTTGAAGGCTAGCCAAAGTAAGCTGTTTCGTGTGCAGGATCGCTCATTTCCCGTTTCGCATTTCATGTGTGTTTTCTTGACAAAACGTGGTTTGGAGATCACGTCCGATGACAGAGCCGCTGTCAGCTCGTGTAGTGTGTGTCTCCCTGTCACTGATCAGTCACGTAGTGTGAACGCCACAACCACTTCAAGTCCACTACCACTAGAGCTCTGAGCAAGCTAGCTGCAGGGTGCTATCAAAGTTACAAAACAATGCCAAAAAAATTAATTTCTGCATTTGACCATTTCTTTTTCTCACTTATAACGTTAGTGTCAGAACATATCTATCAAGTAAATTTACACACAGCAGAAACACACACACTCTGCCCTTTTGAATGCCATTTTAACAGTTGGAAACGCGAGTTTTCATATAGAGCATGCCCCCTGGCTACCCAGAGGTGGAAGCTAGAAATTGAAGCTTGAGTATCCTGTCGTTATTTCTTTACAACTACGTCACTGCACTTCAAATGAAGAACTACTTGGCAAACTCTGCTTTCTCTGTCAATATAGTAATGATCGACACTGATTGGAAATTTACATAAAATGTGCAAAATTTTCCCTTTAAATCTGGCAGCAGTGTAGAGATACTGATGCTGACCAGTGACCCAAAAGTTGTTGCTTAAATCAGGACCATGTGGAGGAAGTTGCTATCATCTGGTATAACCATTATTGGTTTTGTATAAGGATGTCATTTTAGGAATTAAAAGCTTTCTATTGACTTCCCTCCTGGAAGAAATACATCATATTTCAAGAGTCTTTAATCAGCTTAGTAAAAACAAAGTGAACATCAGAAAGGCTGGAGAAACACTGAGAGAGTCATGTTAGCTTGCCGGCTAACGGCGAGCAGTTGCTAATGTTATCCAGTACAAAGTTGTATCACTTTCCACATTACTTCATCCAACTAACCTATCCTGTGTACAACCGGTATGAGGTCAAAGCGTTGACTTAGCCTGCAAGTAAGGATGTAACGGTAAAAAGCAAATGGGGAGCGATTTGTTTACTAGCCTAACGCTATAGTGATGTAAGGCAGGGCAGCCAGCTAACGCTACATTAGCTCAGATCTGCCGTTGTTTGCTTTCAATTTAGATTTATTGTCTTTTACCGATACTCAGGTAAACAGCTTATCCACCTCTCAGGCATATAATATACAAAAATGCAACAAAACACCGACAATAACACAGAGGAAGATCCACTAACGGTACAGTAAAGTTTAAACTAACTGTTGTAAATTGTGACAACAATCTCATTTATAATATTCATTCTAGATCACTAACCTTTTCGTTATCATCCAGTACATTTAGCTGTGTTGACATTGCTGAGCCTCAGGTGAAAGATACACTGATAGTAATCTTAGTTACTGAAAAGCAAACAGGCGAGCTAACAATGTAGCACATCGGCTAAATGCAGTAAATGTAACATTATCATGTAACGAGCATGGATTAGTTCAACCTCAAGCAGCTGATACTGTAACATTGCAGTGGGAGTTTACCTGAGTTTCCAGCATGTTTTGTGAAGCTGTCTCCCTGTCTGTCTATAGCCGCTATCACACTGCCTTTTTTTCCTTGGTAGAAACTGAGCCTGAACATGTCTGGAGAAAAGCCACATACTGCATGCTGGTGTTTCTGCGTTGATTGCAGGATCTCTGTATGAAAGCGGTTGTGTTTCGGGTTATGCTCGCTCATGAGTTCCAGCAAGTATGCATACCTGGTTGCAATGTTAAAACCGCACCGCTAGTGGCCGCTGAAAACTCTATAATGCCCCTTTAACTTAAATTATAATAATTGTGTCAGTGTTGTGACACAGCTTGTTTTTGCTGCCCTCAAGTGTTAATAACATTACATTACATCATATTTTTAAACTGAACATAAGCAGTTTTAACAAACAAGCAATGCTGCTGCAGTTTTTATTGAGGGTACAGTATCATTTAATAATGTGTGCAGCAGAATGCAAAGGACTTTTCATTACTGAGAATTGACTGGGGAGGGTGGTGGTAACATGGACTTTTCAATTTATTCTTTACTTGCTGTTAGATTGCAACCAGTGTGAAAAAGAGGGGGCCTCTTCAATCCCTCTCAGGGCTCAGGGGATGAATACAAGCCCAGTGTGTGCAGGCCAAGACAAGCTAGGCTGGTGGAGTGGATGCATTGGGAATACCTGCCTTTGTCTTATGTTGTGTCCAGAGCTTATGTTGTTGGTTGGGCCCCCAGTCAATCAGATCTTTAGTGCTGGCTGCCAGCTATCTAACACATGCCCCAGTGCCCTGGGAGCACTCTGCTAGAATTGTAAGCATAAAGAGAAACCTCATTTGAATTTTGAAGTGTGAGTGAGTTTTCAAAGAGAGGTTGGAAAAGCGCTGCACTTTATGCCTAGGCAGACTGGGATGGATAATATTCTTTGCTGGGTGGGTGATGTCAGGATAGTGGTGGGGTTAAGAGTTTTGGGGTATGGAGTTTCGGGATTTGATGCATGGGGAGTCGGACTGTGTTTTTAGAAAGAGATGAGGTGTGTGAGAGGAGGTGACTCACCTCACTTTAATATGAAAAGGTACATAGAAGGCTGTGTGAAAATCAGCCTTGCAAGGGACATCACTTAGTTGAAAAGACTCCACAACTAACTTGTCTGTGGCTCTGGTGCTGCTGTGGTGGAGAGCAGTCCCTAACACTTGATGTAGTAAGAATTTGGTGTTTCATGACATTACCTTTTGTGTTGTTAATGAAATGTTTCCATAACAAACAGCAGACACAGGCCTTTCTCATAAGTGTGGCTTCAATGGTAATGTGGAAATCCACAATATTACATTTTGCAGCGGATAATGTTAGTAACTGGTCAGCGTTAGTAACTAGTCAGCGTTAGCCAGCGAGCTAACATTATCTAACTTGAGCCAACTAAAGCAAAAAATCATACGTTTCCCATGCTTCACAGTAATGTTAGTTTACCTGTCCAAAAGGATGAAAGCCAACTCTGTGTCGGTTTTTATATCCAAAACAAAGAGGTCTCTCTGTGACTCAAACACCTTTCCGATGTTGACTGTGTCAGAGGTAACAGAATAACCCGGCAAGTGGATCGTTTTTATGTGAGGTTACAGACCCTTCTCACACAGGCAATAAAAAAGTAATTAATTTCATTTAAAAAACTATAGCCCCTTTAAAAAAAAATCCTGATCAGCAGACAGAAGTAACTTTTCCCATGGGACACCTCAAGGTCAACATAACAAAAAACTAAAACAAAAAATGTTATGTGAGTTCACCTGTGTTTAAATTGTTATTACTTATCATTATTATTATTATTAATTGTTAAATATATTTTCTCTATTTGATTATCTTGTTCCTATTCTGTCCTAAGGTATGGATGGATGCTGGAACTCAGATCTTCTTTTCCTATGCCATCTGCCTTGGTTGCCTCACCGCCCTGGGAAGCTACAATAAATATAACAACAACTGCTACAGGTCAGGACTGAAAGGATAATGCATTTTGCCTTACTACAGAACAATACCTCTATATTCTGTATTTAACCTGTTGATTTACCTTAAATTACAATAAAAGTTTACATGAAAGGAGTAAAATCTCTAGTCCAGACAATGTTGGGTCCCAGCCCATTAAAACAGTTAATGCAGTTCTTAATTGTTATGTGCCCCTCTGTGTTATTTCCAGGGATTGCCTGTGCCTCTGTTTCCTGAACAGCGGTACCAGTTTTGTTGCAGGTTTTGCCATCTTCTCCATCTTAGGATTTATGTCCTATGAGCAGAACGTGCCCATCTCAGAAGTGGCTGAATCTGGTTCGTTTTTCTTTTACTTTTTTTCTTTCTTATGCTAAAAGTGAGGCACTGCAATTCAACCAAAATACTGTGTATATATATACACAAACACACAAACTCACACACACACACACACACATATATATATGTATAGAGAGAGAGAGAGAGAGAGAGAGAGAGAGAGAGAGAGAGAGAGAGAGAGTGAGTACACCCCTCACATTTTTGTAAATATTTGTAAAAATAGTGCTGGGTTGCATTGTTATGCGCAAAATTAAATAATGAATTGTAAAGTACTGGACTACTATATACACAAAAGTGCAATAACATGTGGTTTGCAAACACTTTAAACAAATAAGGTGCTTTTTACCAGCAGTATTCCCTTTACATGTAGCAATAAAATATTTCTTGTAAATCTCAACTTAAACATTAATGTAATCAAATCAAATATAAACTAAAGCTATTTGCCTCTGCCAGGGCATTACCTTTTATCTAGCTACCATCAGAGTCCAGTTTTATTGGGTTTTTTCTGAACAGGTATCAGCAGAAACATTTTTCTTTCATCAGGGAGCAGCATAAACAGTCTAGGGCAGTCTAGTAGCAAGTGTCCCTGTTAGAGTTAGAGAGTGAAGTGGTCAAGCACAAGGTGCCAATATATCCTCATCATCATGGATCATGTGTAAAATGAGGCTATTATTGATGTATGATTCATGCATGAGGGTGATTCATCACTAGTTTACTTACTTAAAAGATACAGACATTATTATTATTATATGTTATTATATGTTATTCTGTCACCATTTTGATATCATAAAGGTCACTCACTTTAGATGATCAGAAAATGATTTATTTAGCAAGCAGGACAGGTTTAGGGGAATGTGCGAAAACAAACCCCCCCCCCCAAAAAAAAAATGTTCCCTGAAAGCCATGGCATGGTTCGCACATTGTCTCTATGGTTTTAATGACATTGTTGATATGACACAATCCAAACTCAGAACTTGAGCAAGAATGACCAATAATGGTATTTTTAATGAGAAAATGACATTTAAAATCTGTTTAACTCAGGTCCAGGTTTGGCCTTTATAGCCTATCCCCGTGCTGTGTCCATGATGCCTTTCTCCCCTCTATGGGCCTGCTTTTTCTTCATTATGATTGTTTTTCTGGGACTAGACAGTCAGGTGAGACCAACATTTGCAGCACAATATCACATTTTCAAATGATCACAAAGTACCGTGAATTATTTATCTAGCAAATGTGCATGGATCAGCATTGTCAGCAGCACACAGTACACTCACATGCACAAACAAACAAACATACATACACACATATAAACAATACAAATATCTCGTACTTTTTTCTTGATCAGTTTGTGTGTGTGGAGAGCCTGGTGACAGCCATGGTGGACATGTATCCCTCCACCTTCCGGCGTAAAAACCGCAGGGAGCTTTTCATCCTGGCAGTGGCTGTGGTGTCCTTCCTCTTTGGGCTCATCATGCTGACAGAGGTTGGTCTCAGTCACCTCACTTCATAATGTTTTTATAGAATTATCATGTACTCTTGCCCAAAGGATGGTAACCGTACATCACTAACTTCTATGTAAAATCACTTTAATCAGCTATAATAAAATAATACAAAGAACATAAGAAACAGTGGCTTACTTGCAACTGTGGCTTGATGGAGCCCTTTTGTGTTTCACTCCTAACAGAAGAAAACTTTCTTGTCTTTGAGATTGATGACAATCTACCAAACTCATGCTGCTTCTTGTTAGCAGCCTTCGGTCCACAGCAGATTCTCTTCAAATCCTGTTATGCCACCAAATGTTTCTTTATCTCTGTGTTGTCTTTTCAACAAAAGCTTTGCTGTGTAACACTTTGCAGAGTTGTCTTCCAGTATAAAATGGCTTTCATTTTAAACCCATGTTTGTCTCCACAGGGAGGCATGTACATCTTCCAGCTCTTTGACTACTATGCAGCCAGTGGGATGTGCCTTCTCTTTGTGGCTGTTTTTGAGACTGTTTGCATTGCTTGGATTTATGGTGAGTGTGTTAGCAAGGCTGTTCTGGAATACTTGAAGGGGGTATTTAAAAGACAAAGGCTTTATTCTTCCTAGGCACTATTCATCCCTGTCCACACAGCCTCACAGGCTCTGTTTCTTGGACCCATAGATTGAGAGGCATAAGGTAGAGTGAAGGGGGTGTTATTTCAATCATTTGGTTTATTTACTGAAAACCAATAATAAGAAAAATCACAATTCCTGCCAGTCATGAAGATTCTTAATGTAATGTGTTTCTTTATACATTTCTGCTGTTCAAATAGAGTGAATCTTGACACAGATGATAGATATTAGATTTATATATATATAATTATATATATATTAATGTCGCCACTGCGTTTCCCTCATCTCCCCTAGGTGCGGACCGTTTCTATGACAACATAGAGGACATGATTGGCTATCGCCCTAGCCCTGTCATCAAATACTGCTGGCTTTTCTTCACCCCTGCAACATGCTTTGTGGGTTTCCCATTAATTTGTATTATACATACTTTTACGCTACTCTTGTGAAAGCAGAGCATCCTCTACTGGCCAACACTGAAAATACATTTCAATTTACAAACTTCTGCAAATGGTTAAATAAAGCTTTCTTTATCTACAGTATATGTTAAAAAATAAGACAGAATTTAATGATCTTGATCAGCTATTTACTTTACTGGTATTTCAAATATCAGATATGTAGCATAGTCAGCATCTAACCTTACAGACCATGAAATCTCTCTCTCTGTCTCTGTAAACAGGGAACCTTTGCATTTGCCTTGATCAAGTACTCACCTCTGAAGTATAACAATGAATATGTATACCCATGGTGGGGCAATGGCATAGGCTGGACCCTGGCCCTGTCTTCCATGCTGTGTATTCCTGTCTGGGTAGCAGTGAAACTGTACTACACCCCTGGAACACTGAGAGAGGTAAGTTTTGCCTAAATTTAGATGCAAATGAATAACTGACTCTGCCAGTGAATAATAACCCAACTCTGCAGTTCCCTGCAGAACCTTTCAGTTCATTGTTTTGATTCCATGGCCTGCAGCTCAACTGTTCAGTTCATTCTCACTGCTGTCACTGAGCTTGTTTCCGGGTCTGAGAAACCCACTGTACACTACCTTCCCAGAACCAAATGGCAGACAGAGAAGTTAGCAACTAGCTGAATGTAGTGGAACATTTGGCAGCTAAAGACCCAAATATTTCCCTCAGGAGGAGACGCTGAAACTGAGCTCGGATAGCCAGAAACACAACTCCAAATGATTGTTGTCTGCTGGACGTGGTGTGTCATTTGGATGATAAACAAATAGATCCTGTTATCATATCATTTCAATAATACAAAGTGTAATTCAGTATGGAGCAGTACGATCAGTGCATGGTGCAGCTGTCTATGGTCAGCTTAAAGCTAGACTGCTATTTGCTCAAAAAATATGGATCAAACGTTTGAGTCAAGTTTTCAAACTGTGTAAGCTAACAGAATGTTGTCTGTTGAGTCCCACAGGCCTGACTGAACAGGTTAAAGAACTATTTTGTTCCTCAGTCTGTCAGAGTTTGGGTTCTGGGTAGGCCTCTCTGTTCCTAGCACTGAATGTAAAAAGGAGCGATTAAATTGAACTGTTGCACTGTGGCCACTTATTTGTAATGTCTGATGTAATATACAGGTTCATCTCAGAAAATCTGAATATCATGAAAAGTATTTTTTTCCCGTAATTTAAGTAAAAAAATTAAACTTTCATATATTCTAGATTCATTACACATAAAGGGAAATAATTCATGCCTATTTTGTTTTACTCTTAATGATTACGGCTTACAGCTCATGAAAATCAAAAATCCATATCTCAAGATAATACATTAGAAGAAAAAATGTATAATACAGAAATCTAGACCTTTTGAAAAGTTGAAAAGTTAATTTATGCACTCAGGACGGGTCTCCTTTTGCACAAATTACTGCATCACGGTGGTGTGGCATGGAGGCAATCAGCCCGTACCACTGCTGAGGTGTTGTGGAAGCCCAGGCTGCTTTGATAGTGGCCTTCAGCTAGTCTAGTATTGTTGGGTCTGCTGTCTCTCATTTTATAGCCCGTAGATTCTCTATGGGGTTCAGATCAGGCAAGCTGGCTGGCCAACCAAGCACAGTAATTCCATAGTCAGCAAACCAGTTTCTAGTCGTTTTGGCACTGTGTGGGGGGGGTTCCAAGTCCTGCTGGAAAAGGAAACAGCATCTCCATAAAGCCTGTCAGCAGATGGAAGCATGAAATGCTCTAAAATCTCCTGGTAGATGGCTGCATTGACTCTGGAGTTGATAAAACACAGTGGACCAACAACAGCAGATGACATGGCACCCCAAATCATCACTGACTGTGGAAACTTCACACTGGACTTTAAGCAACTTGGATTCTGTGCTATTCCACTCGTCCTACAGACTCTGGGACCTTGATTTCTAAATGATAAGCAAAATTTACTTTCACCTGAAAGAGACTTTGGACCAGTGCCTCTGAGCCATGATCCAGTTGTGTTTCACCTTAGCATGGGTCTCTGGTTTAGGAGTAGCTTGGCGATGCAACTCTTGTAGCTCATTTCCTGGACCCGTCTGTGCCTTGATGCACTGACCCCAGCCTCAGTCCACGCATTGTGAAGCTCCCACAAGTTCTTGTATCAGCTTTGCATGACAATCCTCCAAAGCTGCAGTCATCCCTGTTGCTTGTGCACTTTTTCCTACCACACATTAACCTCCAAGTCAGCTTCCATGAATATGCTTTGATACAGCACTCTGTGTTTCAGCACTAACCTTCTGTGCCTTACCCTCCTCGTGGAGGGTGTCAATGAGTCTTCCCCATGATATTGGCTGTGTGTACTGAACCAGACTGAGAGATTAAAGGCTTTTCTCAGGTCCACATTTTGTCCTTTATTCTAATATTTTGAGATATGGATTCTTGATTTCTATGAGCTGTAAGATGTAATAATCAAGATTAAAACAAAAAAGGCACGAAATATTTCCCTTTATGGGTAATGAATCTAGAATATATGAAAGTTTCAAATTATGCATGCACTTGTATGTTCGTATTATTTGTTCAGGTTAAATGCATAGCTTAAATGTTTTGTTTTTGATGTATGTGAAACAGTGTAGGACTTGTGATGCAAGGCAAATTTCAGAATTTTTTTTTATAGTCAAGTGAAATCAAATCAGATCAACTCAAATAATGTCAATATTGTGTTTACAGTTGCACTGCCCCAAGTGGTAATAAAAATAAATAAATCAAACAATTAAGTAAGAACTAACAAGTTGACAGAGTTATGTATTGTATTTTTAACAAAGCCTAAATATCATAGTTATCTTAAATTCTTAAAAGGGTTAGTTCCACAAAGTTCTTGTGGTCTAGTGGTTAAGGCGTTTACCAAATAACAATGTCCCTGGTTAAAAATTCAGTGGCAACCTTTGTTGCATTATACCCATTTCTTTCCTCATTTGCTTTCTGTTTTATACTGCCATATATTGCATTACTGATTCTATTGAATAATCTCTTAGATAATGTTACAGCTTGCATCATTAGGTGACTTACATTGATTCCAATATATTAAATATTTTGTTTGAAAATGTCATCAATTTTATTTCACTGATATATAACTAATTTTCCACCATTTTATCAATTTTACATCCACAGCGCTTTGCTCTCTTGACCACTCCGTCCACTGAGTTACCGAAGACAAAGCAGGAACAGGAGAGGCTGCTAGCCATCTTTGCAGCAGATGGCGACAGCCTCCATCAGAAATCACCTCCCACTAGAGACGGCTACTTCCCTGTTGATGAAAAGGAGTCTCATTGCTAGAGACTTGAGGTGGGAATCAGAGGCTTGTAGGGGTCAAAGGTCACTCCTCAGCTTTGACGCTCTATCTGGCCGCCTCCCATCTCTCTCTGCAATACCTCACCAGACAAGGTGGCGAAACAGGCACAGTGCAGACTTTAAGAGTCCCCTGACCTGTAACTGCTGATCTGCTGCTGGAGCTTTCTACTTTGTACACTGCCTTCAACACGCAATATAATGGCATCTTACTTAAAAAGTTACATCCTTTTTTGGAGAGTGTTACCTTCTGATTTGCCAGTGGCAGAGTCACGTGTACATTGCAAAAAATGTGGCCATTGTTGTTACACAGTGGCTAGGAATTTACATTTGATCGTGTCTGCTTTCTAAGGAAGCATTTTTTTCCTGTTATGTACATCTCTAATGTTCAGGTAGCCTGACATGACATTCCGTTACTGTATTGATTCTTACAGCTGGCTGCTGCGAATGGAGCGTGAGAGATGTCACATGAGTTCACAGATCATAAATGTTCACTTGAATAAAAGCTGTGTATAAAGCATGTCTGTAATGCATACAAAGTACGAGAGTATAGAGTATTCCATCTATCAATCCAATCATGCTGACAGCTCTATTTTTATATACTATACGGTAGTGAGCTATCACCTCAGGATGTAAAATGTTCTAATTAAAAAATTCATTCTAAATCATACTAATAACCAATACTTGAAAATTAGAGAAGAAGAATTAGATTATAAATTTACATTTAGCTGAACTGACCACAAATCAACTTAATTATTTAACGTTAACAATTAACGTTATGTTGATTTATTCAAAAAATTATTTTGCTTTGATGAACATTGCAGAGTTACATGAATATGTTACATGCTTGTTTCAATCTTCTCATTATTCACATGATTTTAATTTAGTTGCCTTATCTCTATATTATATTATACATTATAAGTGCGCGCCAGAAGAGACATGTTGTGCCACTTAGATGTGAACAGGGGAGGCTGGTTAAAGCGTTTCATTCCAAAATGAACATCTCTCATGTCATCTTTTTTCTGCTGTATGATAATGAACTTCAGCAAGTGTTTCCTCAGATGTTGGAATAAATATGATCATTGATTACTGATAGGGGACACTTATATAACTTTTTACTACGCTAAAATAATTTTTTATGATAAATAAAAAATACTTTAATTTGAAACATACATTTCTGTTGAAATATATGTTTATATTTTGTGGGACCTACAATTTATTATTCAATGTGTGAATTGTCTGAAATTAATTCATGTGTATAAATTGATGATAAAAAAATTTCTAAACTTCAGCAGTACAGTTCTCATTTAAAGTAACATCCCATTCTTGAATAATATTCAATTATCTGTATGTTATACCTCATTTGCATTAGGTAATCTAGTATTACTTGATATTACTTATTAGTATTTAGGAATTTAGGAATACTGTGGTTTGTGTAAGATGATGTGCTGTCTTCAAAAATGTATTGTTTTACGTACTTTTACATTTATAGCAACACAGTACAAAGTTGCAACATGTACAACTAAGTAAAATACAATGTGTTTAATCTTTTGGGTAGTTGTGTAATTGATTAACACTATAGTCAACTGTATCATAGAGCCTCAATTCCCTTGAAATAATAATAATAAATAAGTATTTGAATATACGACAGGTGTTAAGCATTGACAAGTTCATGCAATGTTCCATAATAAAATGTTAACATATTGTCCAGTGATCCTGGTAAAAATATGTTTGTATGTAACACATTGTAATACAAACAATACACTGTAGAATATGTCTAGACTCAGTATGTAAACAAGTAGCTGCTGCAATCCATCCAATAACATTCAGTAGCAGACTATATAATTTATTTTATTGCTTTTTTATGTGTATTATCATTAGAATTTTTATCAAAATGTGTAAAAGCTACGACATACCCTATATTCATCTGTCTTAATACGTAACTCTCAAAATGCCACCTATTATAAGGCTTTAATAGATTTAAAGACAGAAGTCAACATAAATGAGTGAATTCTATAAATATAATCCTTGAAATTGGTTAGTTCATCATACCAGTCACCATAAACAAACAAAGAATAAGTAAAAATATGTGGTGACTTCCTAATATGTGTCCATTCCTTGATTTTCTCCACCGATCAAAAGAATCCAAACAATTTTTCATAAAAATGAATCCAAGTTGAAATAAATATCGTACCTTCAGCTTTCATCCTTTGTAGGGCAGGCTACCGGTATTTTCATAGCCTATGTCTCTTAAAGGCTACACTAATTGATATTCTCTAGATCCTAGTAAGTCAAAATAATGTCTGAGTTTTAATTATTAGTTATATGATGTCAATGGTTGTGGAAGTGTTCAGATCATTCACCTAGTAGTAAAAGTGGCAACACACAGTGTAAAAATACTCCATTACATTCAAAAATGTATTTAAAAATACAGAAGTACTATTATCAAACTGTATGAATTTAATATTTTACAGTTGCATAAACAGGGAAGCAGCATTTTAACGTTGTAGCTGGATGAGTTGGAATTATTTTACTTTTATCAACTGCAGTTTAACCTGACAATTCATCATGTTTTATGTTTTGGATGCTAAATCTGAATACGCACAAAAAACTAATAATTACAGCCATCAGATGAATGTAGTTGAAATACACAATATTTCCCTCTAAAATGTAGAAGTTTAAAGAACAGGACATAGACATTGAATTTACATACAGTGTACAGTAGACTAGGTACTTGAGGAAATTACATTACACCACTGTATAATCTACGGTATACAATGAAATAATTACATAAAGCATCTATCTGCATCTGATTTCCTAGCCTTTAGGTGGTGCACGTCGACATGTAACTGTGCTGATGTGCCCAGACGATAAACTGTAAAAAAAAATAAATAAAAAAAAATAAAGCCCAGACGTGGCTTGTCGTTTTGTTGGTCTGTATTAAGTTTGTCCAGCGGGGGTCGCTGTAGTCATTATTCTGAATCGTCACTGTTTACGGAAGTCCGAGTGACGTGTCACTGTCCACTGAAGCATTGTGGGAAGGAAAGTGGAGCTGACGGCCGCTGATGGCAGAATGCTCAATTTGGCGAATATCTTCGATTAGTGAGCAGCTTTGACCAACAGAAATTACGGGAAACGATGCTACTTGACGAAGCTAATGTCAACGGGCTTTGAAGAAGAGGAACATATGCCGGTGTCATCGCTGCTGTCCTGCGCACGGGCGCTCAAAGCAGAGACGTGGGATACTGTGTCTATGGACCGCGACGTTTTTATTTTATTTTCTGAGGGAGCCGAGTAAAGTAGCCACGGATTATATTCCCGCTGTGGATGGGTGGGGGGCGACCGTACTCCCGCATTCCTTATCGTTTGAAGTTTCTTGAGATATATGTCAAAGACGCCGTCAAAGATGTCGACCAGCAGTCCCGAAGCGGTGAAGAAATTGCTGGAGAACATGCAGACGGACCTGCGGTCTCTGTCCATGGAGTGCAAGAAGAAATTCCCCCCAGTAAAAGAGGTTAGCCGGCTAGTTAGCTGTACTGAGCCGTTACCTCGGTTGTCTCGTTTCTGAATCTGATTTTATATTTGTAGTAATGTAGATTTTTACATATGTTTTTTTGAGCCCGGTACCACACCAACCTCCGGGCCTCTGTTCTGTTGTGGGATGTGGACAATGAGTTGTCTTTATACTGTACGGGTAAAATTAAGTTATATCAGATACTGGGCCTTCCTGCCGACCAGGCGTTCTAATAAATGGATATACATGTGTTTAAAATGACCTGTGTCACACGGTTGGGTTAATATTGCTAAAGTGAAGCATTCATATGCGGGTGGGTGGGGGTGATAAACTCAGCTGACCCACGTTTTAATGTACACAGTAACGTACAGTACACCTAGACTAGTTAGCTACACATTTTGTTGTCAAGTTATTTAGGATGCATATTCTCTAGACACACAAGTTAGCAGTGTCCCACTGTTCTGAACTGCATAGAAGTACGGTACCTTTTAAGGGTGAGTTCACCCAAATGTCAAAAAAACATTTTCTAGCTCACCCTGAGTAGTAGTAACATAGACAGTAAAACTTGGGCAAATGATAATGATTTCATTGAGTGGCACTAGAGATAAGATGTTAAATAATGGGTTTTGATTATATAGTTGAATGAATGTCTGCTTTTAGAAGACAATGGATTGGAAGTTAATCTACCTAATAGTTTTATTACCCACTTTGCATTCACTTATTGTTAGATGGTGGTGCTGTACAGTTGAGGCGCATTATTGTTCAGTCATGCAATCAGAAAATACATTCCCCATATATGACCTGATACAGTGTCAATCCATCCAATACAATACAATACACTTACGAATATATTTCCTCACTTGTGCACCATAAATTCCGTGAATTATCTTAAACAAAATGTGACATTTTCTCTAAACATGTTCTCATTTTATTAATGCTTTGAGCACCTCAAACTAATTTCTTGTCAACCCAAACCAAACCATCAGCATGGCTAGATGGATATACCACTAGAGCAAATGATGCTAAGGTGAGCTATTCTCAGGGAAATGTTTTGTTTTTGACATTTGTCACAGAGTCCTTGCTCTACACATGTCTGTGTAGGATCTCACATTGCAACTTGGTTTCACAACAAGCTCATACACATGTTTTGTTTTTTTATATTCCGTTGGAATGACTCGCTGTATGCGGCTGCTGACTGGCTTCGTTGTATGGCAGTGTTGGTGACATCGTGGCTTAGTATGAGAACAGACTAGTACAAGGAGGTGTGATGTCATGACCTTTTACAGTGTGTGTGTGTGTTGTTAGATTCACACATAGAAGACAACAGTCAACCCAGCTTTTATGATTCCACTTTACCCCAAATGACACAACCCTCTTTATTACATTATCCACAGAGCTGGGCCAGAGTCAATTTACTTCTGAATTGAATTACATTTAATTGCTATTAAAAAAACATAATTTGATGCTGGTGACATATTATATTGGATAAAAACAATCTTTTCATGTTCTGTAATGGATTATGGGGACATAGACTCTATTCTATCATTTACTTGACTACTGAGAAGAGCTAGTGTTTGCTAAATTATGTCATTCGACTGACACCATCTCAGTCAAAGCCTCTTTACCTTAATTCTCAGTAATTCACAGGTATAGCAAGCTCATGGTTTGCTTGCATACGCAACTGTGGTTGCACAGGTCATTAGATGAAATGCTGTACTGTACGTGAGGGTTGTGAGGCAATGGAAATATTCATCAGCCAGCTCAGCATGGAAGTACACATCAGGCTACGCTGGCTTAGTTTGTTTTTCCTCATATCTCTCCTTGGTTAAAGACCGCATTACAGTGAGAAAGAGAGTTAAGCAATTACTTCTAGTTCCTTCGTGTTTCTCGCACTGCAGACTGATTCAGTCCCCTGATTTGAGTGCCTGATTCTTCAAAATAAGCTGTGTGGCAGTCACACAGGACCATGAAAAGCATACATCCGGTCTCATGTCTCCGGTTGTTGGCATCTCCTTCAATATTGATTTATCTTCGCCTATGTTCCATGGTCTTTACCAACATCTTTCCCTTGGGGATCACAGCAGTGCAGTGATCCACTTTGACTTACACTCTGGTTGATAGTGTCGCGATTGAAACAACCTTTTCCAATTTGAGCTGTCACGGTTATATTTGCTAGAATGTTATTGCGCTTCAAACAAGCTGAGTACTGGTGGCTGTTGTTGGTGAATTCAAATTATTTGTGTGCCTGTTAGAGCACACAAATCACTCAGAATCAGTGGAGCTTTATTGCCAAGTAGTGTTTTACACATACGAGGAATTTGCTTTGGTGATAAGGTACTACAAGTAGACAAACATACAGATGACATAAATAAATGTAGAAATATATAAATATGGAATAGACAATGCAAGTTATATAAGAATATTAAAAACAATAGAGAAAAATAATACAACTGTTTGCAGAGAAAGAACGTCACAGATATTTACATGAGCATTAATCTGGGTTTGTGTTATGCGGATGTATTGCAACGGAAGAGAATATTGTGTACATAGATATATAAATATATAAATTCTATCCATTCAATGTGATTGTTTATTTAAGAGAGCTCCTGAATTTCCTATGAAAGATACCTTTTTGTTTGTCTTACCCACATTTTCAGCACTTACTACTTTTAAATGAATTAGCTACTGAGACATTTTTCTGTCATGGTTGTTTATAAATGATCAAAACCTAATACCAAAGCATTGTGTCTGTATTGCAAAAGAAGATTGAGGAAGCTCTGTTCTGATTTCCCGGCCAGTCTACATTCCAGTTCCTCCCCCATTTCCCAATCCATCTCCCACAGTGACATTGCACCACCGCCAGTGGTTTCTCTGGGTAAAGAGAAGCCAAGAAAAGTCCCATTGATTTTTCTCCATCATCTTCACACTCAGAACCTCTCTTTCACTGAGTAGCAGCACAGTCAGTGAAACCACCAGGGCTTTTCTGTTTGTTGTGCTCTGATTGCTTTTGTCTACGTGAAAAAAAAAAAAAACAACCCATCAGGCAGCCCCCCAATCCACTTTTTCTCTGGATGAGTCAGGTGATGTCGGCTGTATGTAGCTCATGGTGAAATGTGACTGCCTGTCTTCGG